CAAAATATTATTGAATTTTCTTTTCCTATTCACTGATCTAAAATTCTTAAACAAATTCAGTAATGAATTATTGATTGCCTACTATTCTTTACCATTCATCCAATGCCTATTTCTAAATTGAATCCCCTTTCTTGATCAAATATATATACTTTTTAATAAAATTCTCTTTTATATTATTTATTTCTTATCTCTATTTTACAATATAAGGTAATACTGCCATCACTATCTCCACCATAAATGGAGTTTCCATAAGAGATTCTAATTTCATTAATTTAATAAAATTTTAATAATGCCAACCTGACCATATATCAGTTAACATTTATTGAATTGTTTTTAAATGTTCATTAGGCACAAATTGCTTGCATCTTTATAATAAAGTATTAATCATTTCATTACTCAACATTTAAGGTTTATTTTATCTAAAATTAAATAACCCAATTTATTTTACTAATTCATTGTAAAAATTTTCAAATTCTTAATAATTCTAATCTTGATATGCAGCAAAATAGAAGTCTTTAATTACTCTTTTAACACATAATTATGTATACTCATCTATATATTATTGAATCTAATTTTCAGTGAATTTTAACAATCTAACTTCTTTATAAAATTTAATCTAATTTGATTCAGAAAAGAACCAAGAACAATATCCATTTATTGTGAATAATTCAGATCTTGATGTTGTTATCAATTTAGGATATTTATTTTTATCTGAAATACATCTCCATTTACTTAATCGATTGGAAGCATTTAAATTTAATCCAATATATTATTATTTTAATTCATCATAACTATCCAAAATTATAATCAATCTATATTGTTTTAATTCTACAGCTTCCTTTAATTCTTCAACCTATCTCTCACTAAATCGATAATTATCTGATCTTAAAGTTTCTTCAATTGCACAATAAATTGGATCTTTCAATTATGGTAATGAAACAAAAATAGGTATAAGAGGAATATAATCTTATTAATTTTTATTTTTCTAATAAATTATCCAAAGATATTCCTCAATTTTTCTGGCAGCTGTGCTTTTACCTGATCCTGCTTATCCATGTATTAATAAGGAATCCTTTTATTATTTCCAAATAAATTCATTTATTTCACCATTACCAAAAAGATCTTCTGTAAATAAAACTGATTCTTAATCTTCAATACCTTCTTCTAAATTTTTTTCCTTTGTTTAGATTTATATATAAACATTATCAGAATTATGAATCAATCTTTATTACAAAACTCTCTACATTCTTATTTCAAGCAGTTCTTTTACTGATCTTCCCTTTAAATATTTAATATCTTTATTTATATTCTCCATCATTTCTTAAAGTTATTGTATTTAATTTTCTATCCTCAATAAATCTTATTTAAGATCTTACATAAACAATACAGTTATTCCTAATTAGTTTCCAATATTCTAAACATTCTCCAAAATACCTTAAATTTCTTTTTCTAATTTTGCATACTCTTTCTTTATTAAGTTCTTTTTTATAGGATCATTTTCAATAGTTAGTTATTAAGCTATATTATTTAATTCTTTTAATTTCTCTTTTATTTTATTCTAAATCTATTATTCTTAACTTGGCCAAAACTTACTAATTAATACACTAACATCTCCTTTTTAACTCTCAAATAAAACTTTAATTCTTTTATCTGTCTCAAAAACCTAAAATTTTACTAATAATCCTGCACTAAAATTCATTGATTATTATGATAAACTGAAAGATCTCATTTATTATAATTCATATATTATTACTTATCTTATCCTCCATTTATTTTATGTTAATAAATCCATAAGTTATTCTTTTATATCATCTATTTTATCCTCAATAAAATTAGTTTCAGCTTCTTTAGTATCAATTTAACTTAATATAAAAATAATTTATGATTATAAATCTTTTTAATATGGATAATTCTATCTTTTTTATAATAGATTTTGAATTGTAACATAATCAACTTTTATGTTTAAAGATTTATTATCCAACTATGCCAATAATTAATTTATATGTTTTTATGTCTCAAACAATAGATTATCATATTCTGGTAATTATTAACTTAATTTCTCCAAAGTCTTTAAATTTTCAGCTTGTAATAAAATTTCATTGCAGATATTTTAAAATTATTTAATTTTATTTAATTAAACTTCTTGATTTTATCTAATCTCATCTAATTAATTAAAAATATCCAAATAAAATTAAATTTCATCTGTAAATTTATTATTTGTCTCAATATTGAATGTTGTAGGTTTGGTTATTTCCCTATCAAGTATGAATTATAATTTTTTATCAACATCTCCTTTTAATTTTTTTACTACCTCTTAATCATTTTTATTGAGAATATTCAATGATACTAAAGCTTCAAAAAAGAATATAAATTATTCAAGGTCTCTTTTCTTTTCACATATTTATTAATAAAAATTTTGATCTTTCTCTTTCAAAGTATTTTCAAAATTAAGAAACACTATACAAAATGAGTCATAATAGGAATTCAATTTTTAAACACACATTTACAATTAGAAACTATTTAGTTGAGTTTGTTAAAATATTTATTATATATCTGTTAAAGTTTTTTAATCTAATAATAATTAAACATCGATTCTATTATCAGCATTAGATTCTTTTTCATATATTAAAAAATCAGAAATCATTTTAATTGAACTTTAAATTTAATTGATATAAGTTATAGAATCTTATGCTCTAATTTCTATCATTTTTAGAATTTCTAAATCAAAATTAATATCTTCTGGCTTTTTGATTTCTTAAAATAAATTCTATATCAATATCTAACTAATATGATTTATAGAATCAAAGTTTTCAATCAATATTATTTTTAAAAGTTTTTCAAGATTATTAATGACTTAAATTTCTGTTGTTTTAAATTTTTGATTGCTTTCACATTAAGTATATTATGTATATAAGAATTTAATTGATTAATGTAGAGTTTCATATGGAATCATTAAATTACCACTCTATACTATTTATTAATATGTTTATGAATCTTTTTCTAATTTTTTTTCCATACATGCTGTTTTTATTCTTACTTATAAAATTAATGATAATTCAAGATTCCAATTTAAAGATACTTTTTCTTATAATATTAATTATATTGCACTATTCAATCTCAATAAAGAGTCCATACTCAAAATTCTAGATTTACTTGAATCATATTGTAATTTCTTTATAGCATCCATAAGATTTTTGATAATACTTTCATCATTTTAATTTTATTTAAATCCTTATAATTATTTTTGAAAATCTTTTGAATTTGAAGACTTTAAAAATAATTTATCAATAACTACTACATATTGATCTTTTTAAAATGTTTCTTAATATTTATTGCTTTTATATTTAATAAGGCCAGTTAAATATTATTAAATGTTTAATTATTAAATTTAGTAATATTCTTCTATAATTTCATTATCACTCTCTGAATTTTAAACTAGTACTTAAACTATTTTCTATAAACTTTATATATTTTCTATTTCTGATAATAAATACATTATAGCTTTTTATTAATTTTTCAAGATTTTTTCAGCTTATTTTAACTTTGATTAATCTGTTAAATCATCTTAATGTATTAATTAATAAAACTCTAATAGTTCATCCTATGCTGATCTAGCTATATTAAGGATTGATGATATTTTTGCTGAAGAGATAGGCATAAGATTTTCTTATTACTTTTACTAATCTCTTTGAATTTATAATCTAGCAAAGTATTATTATTCAATATTTGATAATAAACCTTGTCCTTACAATATCATATTTTATAATAGAGCTTGGTCCTGTAAAATTTAAGAATTATCAAATAGTTATTTTGAAATTTAATCAGTTTGTATATGTTGATATTTTAATGCAATTACATGTCTGTTGTTTATTATGGGAATAGAGTATTCTTTTAAAATAATTTATTCATAAAAATTTTAATCAATTTATAATTTATCTAATGTAGGTTTGAAACAATATAATTATTATAAGAGTTATATCCATGCAAACCATATTTCCCAATCATTTGATTCTTTGATAATTTCATTAAAAACCTTTCCTAATTATTCAACAATCTATTTAGTTTATCTTTAATTTTCCATTTAATCCATAGAATCAAACTTTAAAGTCAATAATGAATAAATTAATTCCAACTTTTTCAATCTGCAATATTTAATTCCTTATTGATATAAATATGCAACACCACTTTTTAGACTGTCTATCAAATCATCATTTAATGAGAATGTAGCAATTGCTTTAAATGCTCCTCCTAAGAATTTTACAAGAATATCCTGTCCTTCAGTTGAATTTGTAGGAGTGATAAAAATAATCGCTTAAATTACAAAAATTTCATATTCTATATGATTTTAATAACGTGAAGAATCACTCTCTATTTCCAATCTCTCACTTATTTGATCCAATTCATTTAAATATTACTATTGTTTTGATAACTCCAAAAATCTGTTTTTATTTGTTGAATAAAATGTAAACATTACCCAAGTTAATTAAGTAATAATTTATGAAGTATAAAGTGCAAATAATATATTTGATTAGAGAAAGCTTTTAAAAGCAGGAAAAAGTGATTCCAAACTATCAAAAACTAAATCAATAACTTATCTTGTGTATTTTTAATTTTTGACCAATAACCAAATTGCTCTGGCATTCAATTAAAAAAACTAAAAACTATTCATTAAATTTTATTGTTAATCTAATACTGTAACAGCATTAGAAGAAATTTTAAGAGCATGAAGTTTTATTTAATTAACCAAATCTGGTGGAATCTTTTATTTTAACAATTTTGGTGCACTCACATTTGATGAATCTTTTGTTGTTGTTGTTGAACTTCCACAACCACCTCCTCTTAAATACATTTATAGTTGATAATTTAAATAATACAAAACAATTCTTATCAATTAAAAAATAAACATATTCAATTAAATAAAAATAGAAATATTATCATATTTCTATTTTGGTTATTATATCAAATAATAATAAGTTAATCATTGAGAAAATTATATTTAGTCAGATATTGTTTCTAAACATATTGGTTATAAATCTTTTAAATCTTTCAGCATATTGATGAGGAGGTATTGCAGAAATATCAGGACCTTAAAAACATCTTTTACAACAATATTCTATCTTCTTTTTAGTGCTAAGATATAAATATATCTGATTAATACTTAAAATTTGTCAATATATCAATAATTCCAAAGAAATATATTTTATCACCAGTTTTTGATTGAATTATAGAAATGTCTTCTTAATCTTGTTCATGTATTATGTCTGTTCTTGAAGAAGTTTAAAGAAAATTAATTTCATGAATTCCCAAAAGTAAACTATAATCTATAATATTATTTTAAGCAAAAAAATCTGCATCTTTACATAATTATGTAAGTAATTCACTTTATTTATCTATTCTAATATTAATTTTTTCATGAGATTCCAAAAAATTTAAATCTTTTCTAGCTACAGTATAATCAGCATTATTTGGAGTTTTTCTTTAATGAAGACTCCCTTTAATATCATATCTTAAATTAATTTCATGAGATGTTTTGAATACATTACTCATAATAATAAAATGTATTTTTTTATCATCTAATATAATTTTATGCATTCCAAATAACTTAATTATTAATGATTATCTATAATCTTTAAGATGTTTAAAATAATTATATAAGATATGTCTCATAAAAGTAAATTCTGTTTTTGAAATAGTTTTTAATGTATAAATACCATCTTATGAATAATAGAAAAAACTGCCACTTTTACCACTAGATGTCAATTCAGATAATGTACTAAGATCTCCTTTTAAAATACTTGATAATAATGTTTCAGGTCCAATGCTACTCAAATAATTATCATTATCTATAAAAAACATTTTTCTAATATGATTAAATACTTAAGGAGCATAATCAAAGAATTTACAAACCTTAAAAGTTGCTTTTTCATTACCAGTTCTCTTTGGCATAAGTTCAAAATAATATTTTAATTTAAAATCTTTTAATGTAACTTCATAATCACTTAAAGCATTTACTGATTTTACTGCCATTTATATTCCAATCATCATATTTAATACAAGATTCCAATTTTAATGTCCAAATTATACAGATAAAGCTGTTTTTCTCTTTTTATTTATGTTAGCTATAGTAGCTCTTCTTTTTTCAGCCAATTCTATATCTTTCTTCTTCTTAATATTAAATTCTTCTAATTTCTTTTAATACATTTTTTCTAATCTATCTAAAGATTATTAAGTTTATTATTTTAATTCATGAATCTTTATCAAAGCTTCTTTATAATTATCTCTTATCTAATCTTCTGTCATATAATTAATCTTTTCTAATCCATCAGTTAATTCTGGATCTAAAGTTTCCTCACTTTCTTTTGATTATAAATTATAATCTATTTTTATAGGGATTTCTTGATCTCCTCTATGTATGAATGGACCAATCTAACTAGTGGCACATATAATTTAACTAGTTTAAACTGCTCCTTATTAACGTGTCTTATTCACATTTATAGTACTTGACATTCTTAATGATAAAGCATCAATCTCTTCTCCCATCAAATATTGGATTCCAAATTAACTATTTGTATTCTACTTCCTTTAAAATATATTGATTTGATATACATTTTTTTCTAACAAAACATTAAACTGGAAATTAAATTTGGTTTTGCTTATACAGTTGTTGAATATCTATTTTATTACAATCCTATCATCATTTCAAATAAGTCTACTGCTTAATCCTTGATCAAATAAAACTCACTAAGAACAATCTAATCTTATTTTAAGGTTGCTTCTTTAATAGAAATTGTTATGCCTTTCCTTAAAAATTCAAATATATCTAGTAAAGATGGATCACTTGCTAAAATTCCTTTATATTCAATAAATGAGACCTTCTCATCATTATTCTTATCCATTTATGTAAATATATAAGTAACTCTTTTTTCTAAATGATCTCTTATTTCATTTGTTATGGCTGTTCCTGTCATAACAACCCAAGAATCAATCAAAGCTTGCATTGTTTATTAAAAATCTCTTAATGTGAAATAACCTTTTCTATTTTAATCAATTAATTTATATGATATCTCAGCTTTTTCATCTTGAGAACCATAAGTAATTTTATCGAAATAAGCAAGAAATTCATTAAATTAAATTTTACCATCCTGATCTTCATCAATTATTTAAAATAAACAATCACTCAATACTTAAACTGTTTCAAGTCCAAGTAGTCCCATATTGTCTCTAAATTGATTTTTTGTTAAAAAATTAGATCCATTAGTCATTCTCTAAAATCTTTATTTAAGCATGTATGTTACCTTCTATGCATTTCTTAAACTTCTTCAGCTGAAAAACGGAATCTTGTCATTCTATTCCTCTAAGCTTACTAATTCCCATTCTTACCACAGCAAAACATTTATTATAATAAATAATAAGTAAAGTAAATAATTAACTATTTACTATAAATTAGATAATCATTAACTTCTTTTGATTCCTAATCTAGATAAAATGAACACTCAATATTAATATAATACCCATTCATAAAAATATTAAATAAATTATTATTTACATCTTAATCTATCTTACAAAACTAGTTCAAATATTATTAAGATGAAGGATTCTATTGCTTATTACACATAAGGCATATTATTGAATTTTTACAATAAATTTTGATTAAAATCAAGAATTTGGAAATTATATAATTTTCATATAAAAAAATGAATACAAAATTTAATTTAATATTAAATGAAAATCACCAATAACCACCATGTTCTTTTGATAAATGTTCATAACATTCTGATGATGTTTTAAACACCATCATACAAGGAACTCCCTTTTTGTTATTTTTCCAACATATGCTTTGTTTACAAACAGAACAAGTTACTCTATAACATCCATCAATTCTTTATATTAATGCTTAACAACTTGGACATTTTCTAATATCTTATTCTTTCATTAATTTTAATAATAAAACTTAATCACCAATCTTATTTTCCTCACATGTTAAACCAGGATGTCTTAAAGCCTATTATTAATTAAATAATTACTTTGCATAAACAACAATATTATTTTAAACACATTGAACAATATATTGATTTTTCTTAAGTTTAGATTTCTTCAAAATTATTACAATCTGGTGTATAACAAAATGTTAAACTCTAATTATTATCCTAAACAAATTTATTAAGTGCCAAATTTATCAAAGTATCTTTGTTATCTTTCCCAATTATTTATAATATATCATTTAAAATCATCTTTTCATTACATACAGGACATCTTACAGGGAATAATTTTGCATCTTGTAAAACACTATTACAATGTAGAGAAATGCATTCTAAACAACATTTATGACCACAACCTTATAATAGATAACTGTGTTTAATATTATCAAAACAGATAGGACATTCTGCTTATTTAACTTCATTTATTCCTGTTTCTCCATCTAAGTTTATTTAAGAAACAGCAGATTCAATACAAAAAACAGCATCTAAAATATTTTAACCTTATCCCTCTAAATATAATTCTCTACTTTGCTATTTGTATTTAATTTATGTCAAATTAAATTATTTTTTAAGATTATCAAGACCTTAACCTTTCAATCCTACTAATTCTTTTAAAGCTCCTGGTGGTATTATTAATTTATGAGAAACAACTGTTTAAGTAATTTTATTAATAAAATCTGTAATTTCTTATAATTTTTCTTATTTACAACATACTCGTATCACTTTTTTGTATTGATCAATAATAAAATGTATGCTTCCATCCAACATCTCATAGTCTTTTAATTTATTCTATCCAAAAGTTGTAAACAGAAAATCCCCATTATTCTATAGTTTAATTTGTTAACCCTATAAGAAATTAGTCAAAACTTGATCTAATTATTAATGTATTAAAATATTCTAAGAACGAATCATAACTTATTATTCTGTATGTTTAAATTATGTTTCTTATTGAAAACTGACTTTGAAATGAAACTTTTCATGTTCCTTTAGAATGGCTAAAATATGGGGTTTGAGTTAATTAAGGATTTTATGATATTAATAATATTATCCTTGACAATGTACTTTAATCAGATTTACTCCAAATTATATTTTTTATCCATTTAATATTTCTAATAATTTTTACATAGTAATAACATTTGAAATTTAAATTTTAGCTATTCTTTTGCCTCCTGGTTTTCTAATCAAGTGTGTATGATTAAAATCAACATCTTTTTTTTCATTTCTTTCAATATTCCTATTGATTAAATGTATAATTCTTTATGAATAATCATCTTTACTTTCTTAAAGTGTTTTTGATTGTAAATCAAGATATTTGATATGTTTTTTCCCACCACACAACATCAAAATATCGATTTCAGTTGTAAATGAACTTAAATTTAAAAATTTTAAAGTTAAATTATCAATTTAACTTATTTTAATCTCTTTTCCATCTAAAAGTTAATTATTAAATTAATTTAAACATTATATTGCTTATTCCATTTCATTAAATATAACAATACATGTACCTGTACATAATTTTGCATACCAAATAACATTCAAAATATATTTTTATTAATTAATCTTTTATTATTAATAATTAGTTTATTCTGTAATAACACTAATAATTCTATCTTAATACTCTGATTAATCATATCCTTAAATAATATAAGGCATATCATCTTTATCTTCAATAACAATTTAAGCTTAAGTTTCATTTTAAAAATAATTTAATTTAAGATGAGTTATAACTGTAAAATCTTCAAATAATTCTTTGATATCATTTTCTGTTACTTTTGGAGGTAATCCTATTATTTTAAACTCTTTAGATTCATGTTACTTTATCCATTCACTTATAAGGGCTCCACTCTAAAAAATTAATTTCTTTCCACTAACATGTTTGATTTCCATAATTTATGTTTTTAGATTTTCTTTAATTTTTTCAATTCTTGTATGTAATTCAGTCATATCAACTTAATCATCAGAATAAATAGATATTAAATTTAAGTATAGATTAGGTTCAATTGAACAATTATATTTATTTTCTAATTCAGTAATCTCAATTCCTTAATTTTTCCATAATTCCTCCAAAATTGCATTACCAACATTATTTATTATAATTTCTTTTTGAACAATAGATGTTTTTCTATTTTTATTATGAAGATATAGGATTGAGTCTTCTTTTAAAGCTAAAACATGAATATGTTATTAAAGTCTTCCTTTTTATGATTAAATACAACACTAATTTAATTTAAAACTATGTTCTTCAATATGATATGACTTATCCTCTCTTAATTCTGCTATAGGAAAATTTAACTTTAATTATTCCTCAACTAAAGGTTTGTCTTCTTGAACTACCTACATACTAGATGATCTTCTAATTGGAACCATAGCTAATCCACCTACATTAAGTATATTAACAGAAGGGCAATTCTATAATATTTTATTTTTTTACATATTCTTGAGAGAATTATTAAACATAAAGTAGAATTAATATTCCTTTATATAGATTTACCATATTATCTTCACACCATTTTTCTAATTATGTTAATTCAAAAATGCTTTAATTTTTATCAAATTCTGCATTGAACATGATTGAATTAATAAATGTTCCAAGCTATTCTATAATTTCAATCCATGAATAGGCATCACCTTTATTTGACCATAGCTGACTAATTCTGATTGTTAGATTAGAATATTGTTAATATTATAAAAGCATACCAGATGTTTTCAAGGCTCCTTTAATAATAGCACTATTTTTGGATTTATCAAATTATTCAATATGATTGTCTAATTAATTAAATTCTAGATTTTATATTTTTGGAGGAAGAGAAATATATGTTTCTTATGAAAAATTGTATATAATTTAGACACCTAATTAATTAGATTTAGGAATTTCTCTAATTATCAATTCTTATCTAGAGAGTAATTGATCTGAATAAATAACACTACTTTTTATATATGATTTGATAATTTCTTTGTATTAAGTATGAATAATTAGAGTAATACATTCAGATTCCAAATATTATGGTTCAATGAGTAAATAAATAGTATGATTGATTTATTAGGTCTTTCTTTAATCAAGTTTTTAATAAAATTCATTAAATTCTGGTGTCAATCTAATTTGAATTTAACCAAATTATCCTAATGCTTTTGCCATTAATTATATTTCATTAACATTTTTACAATAAATTAAAATATCCTATTCTTCTTGTATATATTAAAGTAAATATTCATAAATTTAATCTACTCTATCCATATTATCTTTCCATAAAAAGGAATGCATCAAATTAAACCCTGGAGTACATTAGTATTACAATTCCTCAACATTTTATGAATCTGTTTCAATTGTTTCATTTATGATTAAAAATTATATTTATTCATCAATTATTTTTGGAATTGATGTTGCAAATTTGAGATCCAAACTATTAGGTAATTCTAATTTCTAGTTTGTTTAGTCAATTATAATTTTTAATTGTGTTTAATCTTCATTATTCAATTATAACTTTTAAAGAATAGACTAGAAGTATTTTTATCTACTGTTTAATAAAGATTCTCTAGTCATGTAGTAATTTTGAACTTATTATGAACTTTCAGCTATTTAAAATTAATCCATCCTTTTAGAAATTCCAATTTTATTAATAAACTATTTTTATTTTTTATTAAAACTTATTTTTGATAAAATTCTTTATTAATTTACAAATAACAATTATATAATTTGTAAACATAAGCTTAAAATCAAGATAATTTTTATATAAAAATATATAGTAAGGTTTTAAATAAAAATGATTTTGATATTTATTATTACTATAATTATATGAATTTCATTTTTGAATAAATGGAATGTAGTTTATAGTTTATTGAATTTTCTTTTAATTTATTCATATTCAGTTTTGAATTCTTTACATTTTTATAAATTAATTCAATTTATTATACATAATTATATAACTTTTTATTTGTAAATACTTTTAAGATATTATAATAAAATAAATTATATTGTTAAATTTACTTAGCACTCAAATAGTTATAAGAAAAATTTAGATTATTTAATAATTGGATTTTAGATGTTAGTTGGAGATTATTCATTTGAAATTAGAGTTAGAGTAAAAATTTAGATACTTATAATCACTCAGAACATAAGTTTATAAAATTAATGAAAGTTTATTAATGTATATAAATTTGGTTGATTTTTACATATAAATTAATTACATGTAATATAAAATAATATATTGAATATTTTATGGATTTAATCACTACTAACAAATCAATAATTTGCATTCTAGGAGATTATAAGGATAAATTAAAAAGTCAATTATCTAATTTTGAAGGTGGAATGCAATAGTAAGAAATCAAAATATATTTAGATTCATTATTATGCTTGAATTGGATTATAAAAAGAAATCTCATTAAGGTGGGGGAATCTTTAAATTATCATGGCTTCATAAATTAAAAACTGTATATTATAATATTAATATTTTAGTTTCCCTCTGTTGTTATTTGGATATATGACATTTCAGAACGTATAGATTTGAATTATTATAGCTGAGAAATTGGATAAATTATTAGATAATTATAATATCTTAAAGTAAACCATATCATTAGCAAAATCATTTTAACCAAAAATCATTATAGTACTTACAGGCAAAAATGTTGGAGGATTTGATTTTAATTATTTAAAGAAAGAAATTGATTTAAGAAAGGTCTTTGCAGTTGAATTTGAAAATATTGGTTAATAATTAAAAAGGTAATCTTTAAAGCAATTAAATTTTAATTTAGAATAAAAAAGATGATTGTGGATGACTCAGGCACATTCTATCAAGAATTATTTAATAAATATAAGTCTGAAGCAAGTAAATTGTAAAAGTCTGAATTAAGTGATTAGAAGTTAATTATTGAAATTAAGAAAACTCTTATTAGTGAAATTGAAAATAATGCAAAAAAGGCAAATAAGCATATGTAAACATCTTATGAAATTGTGACTTAATTGGCTATAAAAAGGAAAGACTATTTAAATTTTACAGATGATAATTCTTTTTACACTTCATATGAATTAATTTAATAAGCAGAAGAATACAGAGAAGTACTATCATGTTTGAAAATTATAGATTGCTGATCAATTAAGATTCAAATTATTCAGAAATTTAGATATTTAAGATGTAATTTAACATTTTGAGGTTCATTTCAGAACTTTTAAAAATTTGATATTCCACAAATTGTTTGAAATATAAGAATATTTATGGAGAGTTAAAATCTTTGTGGCTATTATAAAATTTATTGAATCAAAATTAATGGTAACTAATTATACAATTGTGTATAACTATTTTTAAGTAATCATATATCAAATAGTAATAGGCAACTTTATTAAGTTATATTAAGCTGATGCAACTTAATGAAAGTTTTTAAGATTTATAAATTTAATAATTTGGTTTTTTAATATCAAAATAAGAACCTGAATATTTAGGAAGACCAAATTATTAAATTCGAGAAAAAGAGAATGAATAGCCTATTGATATAAAATCAGATTAAAAGCTATTTTATTTTAAACATATAATTAATTATAGAAGAAATGAAATTAATTTAGCTCCTAATGTACAATTTATTTTTGATTACTGGAAATAATATAATGATAATGGATAGAATTAAAACAATTATGCAAATGTTTATTTTAAATATTTGTAAATTATTATTACATAAAATTTTGAATTGAAATCATAAATTGCTGATTAATTAATTTATTATGGATTAATTGATGAATATAAAAATATCCTATAATTAGAAGCTTAATCATCTTAATTAACAAAACAAATTTAAATTTATAGTGATATATTAATATATGAACAGGATAAAATATAAGAAATTAAGAAATTAGCATAACAATTAAATGAATAATTAGATATTGTTATTCCTGCTAATACATTTATATCTATTTCTAAATTAGAATCTGATGAATAAAGTATTCAATTAAAAATAGATATGAATATCACATAATAAATTTTAGATATGGTTGAGACTGGAGTAATTATCAGTAAGAATAATCAAATAGAATTTATTGCCACCAATCATACTATAGTAAAAACAGATAAAATTATAGAAAAACCAGTTAAAGTTTAATTATTTGGAAAATATTTGTAATATAATTTTTAATTTATAGGGATAAATTATAAATTAAAATTATTGCTAAAGATGTAGAACTTTATTCGAACAAATATAAAGTAGGATTATTATCAACATATAAAAGAGATCCTCCCATTATTACTTTTAAATAAGACTTTGCGTATATCAATGAATTAAATTAAATTGAAGTAGAATTAAGTTATTAAACTGAATTGGAATTATTGAATTTTAATTAAAGTAACAATAGTCTACTCAAGTTTAAGGAAAATAATAATAATACAATAAATAGTAGATTATTTACTTTATAAATAACGGATAGTATTATTCATGATAGAATTATTGGATTTAAAATATAAGGTGAAGAATATTTCAAAAAGATTAAATTTATTTTCCCATTTACTTATTTTATAAAAATAAAATAATTAAGTAGTGTTTTTTAAAATGCTCAAAATAGAAATCGTAATACTTTGAGTGTTTTTAGTAAATGTGCAGTTTAATTAGAAGTTTAAAATATTGATTTAATAGAAACTGAATTTATTCCAACTGTTGATCTTGATTTTTATAATAAAAATAAATTGAATGTTATATTTATGACAAGGGATTAAGCTACTTATACTAATTTTGGTTAATATAGAATTAAATATTCAAGAAATTAAATGAATTATGAAGCTATAGTTGAAGTTACCAATGTTAATGTTATATCTTATTTGCAAAATGTGGAGATAATATCTCCTCCTACATCTAATGCATAATAGACTTTTGAGATTGTTATAAAATTAAAAACTAGAGAACCATAAAATTATTTCATTCAATTAAAGGATTAAGATAAAAAACAATTCTTTATTATGGGCAAGATTAAATAGATGAAATTTATAGAAGATGAAGCAAGTTTTTCTTATTTATTATTCCCAATTGAATTTGGAAAATGTAATCTACCTGGAATATTAATTGAAATTAGATAGCCCAATAATCCTAACCAGTTAGTTTTCGATTCATCAGGAATGAAATCCATTTTAATATTACCTTGAAATTATAAGAAATATATTAATTCAGATTATTATTAGTCTACGTTTATTAGTTGGTTTAATAAATGAAGAATTTTCGTTTTTTTAAGTTATATATTATAATTTATGGGTTGTGTAAACACTAAGAGCAGAAGCTAATAGAGTAGTAGATCATCATTCGATAGTGAACCTAAAAACGTAAAATATTTGCCATTCTCAAATTAATATAAAAATGGAATACCTTAATTATAGAATGTAAAATTCATATTAATATGTAGATTTCAGTTAGCACTATCCTATAAAGAAGAAAAAAACATGGCAATTATTCTGTATGAAGAAGAGAGATATATTATTAATTATATGTTTTATCTGATTATACTAGTAAAATATGTAAATATTTACAAAAAATTCTTCCTTAAATTATTAACTTAATGATATCTATACAATTAAACTTTTAGACATTACAGGAATATATAATATTAATAACAATATTATTAGGTTTCTCAAATTCTTTAATTAATATATTTTAAAGGTTGAGAAAAATAATCAATTTTTCTTATTTGTATTATAATTCATTAATAATAAATGTTATTGTTTAATAAAGATGTAAATACTTAAATATCAAACTTTTATAGTTTTTTTTATAAAAAAAAGCCAAGAACTGATTGTATTACATAGACTTAAGGGTATTTAAAGTAATAAACCTTGTTTGTTTGGTTCCTTGTTTATAAATTGATATTAATTTTATTATTAAGTTTATAACTAATTTAGCTTTAATAATTTAATCTTTTGGCTTATGATGGAATTAACTTAAAGGTTTATAGAGCATTATTTGGATTTAATGACCTCATCTCCTAAAATTCAGTTAGGAGAATCACTATTTTAAAGCGCCATTTTTTTATAATTTATTTTGAGACTCCATTTTATTTTTCCTTAAGATGGATGGAATGTTTGGAAATATGGAGATTATAAATTACATGTTCCTTATGTCATATTGTCATTTTTATATCAAGAGATATCAGATATACTTAAAATACTTCTAATATTATTTAATGTTATAATCTTCATTTTCAGCTTTTTTAAAGTTTAATTCGTTTTCTATTATAATAACCTTTTATGGAATGTATTTTATATACCTTAAGTAGCGATGCTTTCAAGTTCATCAGAAAATATTGGAATATCAATTTTTGGAATCATGCTGCTTTTTTTTATTCTAGTTTTTAATCTATATTTTAATCGTTCCACTAAATTTATTCATAGTAATCCTTTTATAAGGAAATTTACTTAATTAACAATAATTAGTGCAGCTTTAGACACAATTTGTTATATTGATTTTGAATTTCATATTTTGTAAATGATTTTACTACACATTTAAGGAATTATCTTATGCTTAGATATAATTATTTTTAAACCCTATAGATTCTAGTTTAATAAAATAGTATTTCAGTATAACTTTTTATTTTACACTTTGGTTGTTATTCATACTTTATTGTTATTTGATAAATCAGAGGAAAATATGTTTTATTTTTCAATACTACTTGGTACATTAGCATATGCACTTTCATTTTAATTATATGATAGATATGCAGATATGGATTCATAAAATTAATATATAATATTAGTTTAATGTTAAGAATTTTATTAATCTTAAGATATATAATAATATTTAAAATTAAGATAGCATTAAAATAAGTATTTAGCATAACATTAAGATTAAAATAAAAATGAAATATTAATTTGTTATCTAGAAAATAACATTTCAATTAATAAAAAGTAGAAAATTGATTATGAAATCTTAGAATTAGCCTTAATCCATTTTTTATGTGTTCATAAAGCTCCTTTAACTGCATTATGCAGATTAAAATAGTATTATAATATTCCACATGATCATTCTTTGTTTTTTAGAATAACATTTCCAAGTTAACATAAATAATTATGGAATTCAGTTACAAAAGTTTAAGATGGAATTAATAAACTTTTAAAGGCAGGATAATATTAGGATGATCGTATTTTATCTACTAAAGATATATATGAAGCAGTTAAAATAAGAGAAATATCTATTCCTTTGATTTTAAGTACTATTGATCATAAAATAAATTATTGGAAATAATTAATATCATTGATAGCAAACATAAAGAAACTTTTTTAAACAACATGTTAATTAAGTTAAAAATTATTAGAATGTCAATAAGTATTATAAAAACTATTTAATTGTACAAATATAGAATAGATTGAAGAGCCTAGAACAATTTTAGAAGTTTTAGTTCTTATAATTTATTATTCAATAATTATAAATGATCATGAATAAGCAATTAAGATGTAAAAGATAATGAATGATATTTTGAGATCTGAAAGTTTGATTGAAGGAAAATTACTTAATGGTAACATAATGGAAAATAAAATTTGTTTATTATATACTAGTATTGTTAAATCATAAGGATCAATAATAAAATTAAATGCTTAATAAATAGCATAATTTTGGGGATATGAAAATGAAATGGATTTTAGAGATATTAAACATATAAATTAATTAATGCCAGATTTTTTAGCATCAGTTCATGATTAATATTTAGAGAGATTTAAGAAATTAGGTCATAGTATATTATTTGGTAAAAGTAGAACAGTATTTTTAAAAGGAAAAAACAATTTCTATATTCCAGCTGATATTACTATTGATAATTTTTTTATTAGTTATGATGATTATGTTATAACAGCTGCATTTTCAAAAACAAAAGAAAAGTGTTTATTTATGCTTTTTGATCACAAAGGTAGAATATTAGGAGTAAATAATTTAATGTTCAAATTATTTTAATCAATAGATAAAACAATTACTCAAGAAAATTTGGCTTCTGGATATGTATTTTAATTAATTCCAAAAATATTTAATATAATTAATGCTTATCGAAACTCTGAAGAAGAACTTAATTAAGATGATAAGATAATATTAAAAATTGGAAATCCTATAAAATAATAATTTTCAAGATTGATGTAAAGTTCAAAAGGAAAAAATAAACATTAATTATTTTATGCAGGTTTATGGACAACATTTGATACTCCTGAAAATTATCAAAAAAACTAAAATTAAAAATCTATGTTAAATCTAAATTTACTTGATTCTCAAAAACCTAATTGTGATTTATTTGATGAAACTTATTAATAAAGAATGTAATAATTTATTGATCATAATATTCAAACAACAAATTTCTAAATTAAATGTTATTTAGAATATCTAATACTTGGTTATTAAAAATCTATTCCTTTATTTACTTTAGAAATAAATGATATTATTTCTGCTCATGATACTGAAAATGGAGAGACATTCTCATAAAATAGTTTATAAAATGTTGAATTATCTGATCTTAATAAATCAAGTCATTTAATGTTAAGTTCAATTTAAGATGAAAGTTTTTCAAAAGTAAAAATGGAAGAAAATGAAAAATTATAATAACATCCAGAAATATCATTAATGAGAGGGAAATATGATTAATCATTTTTTGATCAATTATAAGAATCTTCAAGATAAATATTGGCTCCTTTTTCATAAAGAGCTAATTTTAATTTAATTAAACATAAAAGTATGAATGATGATTCTAAATACTTAGAAGATGAATTTAAGATTATTAAATTATAATAAGAATTAGGATATGATAATTAAAACTATTTATAATAATATTCTAAAAATAAAACAGTACTAGATAAATTACAAGATTAATAGTCATCTAATAATAATAATGATTAATAAATAGATTAAAGAAATGAAATGCATGCTATAAATTCTGGTGGATCTATTGCAAGAAGATCAAGAAATCATCATTATGAATTATTAAAAATGAAATCAAGATCTTAAACTAGACCTATTTAATTAAGTTTTATCATTTTCTTAGATGTTTGTATTATTTTAAGTATAATCTTATTTAATATACTGAATATCATATTTATAAGTGAATAAAGAGATAATGGAAATAAATAACTTCTTGAGATATAAGCACCATATGTCTTTAATGGTATTTATTGTGAATTAACATCTCATGATATTCTCTATAAATTATCTAAAGTTGAAGGAATTCAAATAAGTTAAAATCTATTAAGTAACATTTAATCAAGATTTAAAAATCTTAATTACTTATAAAACATGTCTCTACATTAAACTGCTTTTCATTAAATTGAATAAGATTTTTTAAAATCAAATATTACATTATATTATATTGATTAAGCAGATGAATTTAATTCTTCTTATACTTTTTACTATTCCAAATTGACTATTTATTTTAGACTACTAATTAAATACTATTAAGATTATAATTATACTAATTTTAATGATTACTTTTTTTAATAATCTCTATTTGAAGTATTAAATTTAGAAAATAGTACATAATTATTTAGATTATTAATTAGATCTTTAATAGATAAATTCTATATTGAATTAGACTTAAATGATGAATTAATTTTAAATTTATTTGTCATCTAAACTATTCTATAATTTTGTATGTTTTTCTTATAGTTTTGGTTCTTTTTTGATTTATTAAAATTACATATCAAGATTATGAATCTTAATTGTAGATTATATGAAAAAGATGTTTATGTGACAATTTAGAAATTATAAAGTGTGAGAGAAATTTTAAATGATAAATATTCAATCAATTGGAAGAAGGCTGATTATGTACACATCATTTATCAACCTCTTAATAAACAATAATAAATTAATTCTACAAATACTAAATAAAATAAGACAACTCTACTTTCATCAAGAATCTAATAGTCCACATTTAATATGTGTTCAATATCAGCATTCTTATTTGCTCTACTCTTAATTATTTTAATTGTTAATATTGGAGGCTTCCTATTTAATTCCTAAAAATAAAAACAACTCAAACCATCATATCAACTTGGTGCTGAATTTCTTCATTTCACTATACAAGTTGATTCTATTGTAAGTAATGCAATCAGAATTAAGAGTTAAAATATACTATTAAGTCAAAATTCATTAACAGAATCAATATCACCTAAAGTATTATAATCATCTGCTAATTATTTCAAATAAGATCGTTATCAAAATTTAACCTACTTTTATAATCAAGTAGATTCTTTTAAACGTAGCTAAATTCAAATTATATAAGACTTAATCAAAAATCCAAATATTGATTCAAAAAATGCTGATATTTTAAATTAACTATTTTTTTAAGATATTTGTTAACTCTTTTGCCCTATCTCTCCAGATATCAAAGATAATTGCACATATCTATATAATAAAGGAATAATAGGAATCTATACAAAAATTATTAATTTCTTAATGGGATCTTATTACTATGAATTGGAAAATAAAATGCTTGATACAGATTTTTAAAATACATTATCTTTGCTTAACTCAGCTGATTTCAATTAAATGTTTGGAAGACATTTTACAAATGCTAAATTGGCTTTCGATTAATTTGCTCAAGAGAATTTAAAATTAGCATTTGGATAAATTGAAAGTAATTTTAATGAAGCTCTTGTTTATTTTATGATAACAGGATATTTTACATTGTTAGCAGTTGGATTAGCATTAGTCTATTTTAGTAAAGTACAACAAAAATAAATAAATTTGATCAGATTATCCTTAACAATTATTCCAGTTGAATTAATTGATTAATAAGCTATTAATATTCTTCGTTAATTATGAAAATTAAATTATATAATTATATAAAATTTAATATATAATAATTGTTCTTTTATTTATGGATTTTTCCTAAATCAGATTTAAATATGTAATACATTAATTTTTTAATTGTAAACCTTAAGAATAAGTATAATAATGAACCCTAATCCTTGAGAAAGTTCATATAAAAATTTATCATATAATTCAAATAAGAAATAATACTTTTTTTATTTCATTTCATTATAGAAATTATATAATTAAATTATCAATATTATTTTTGTCATATAAAATTTGATTAATTCTTTAGAAATGTCAATATATATAAATTTGATTAAACATATCTAAATTCTAAATATAATGGAGAAAAAGGACATTCAATCAAATATTATAAATAATAGATAGGTAAATTAGAAAGTGCCTATGTAATTTATCTCTTTAAGCATAAAAACAAAGTTATCATCTGTTTTATTAATCTATTACAACTTACAAATATATTATATAATATAATTTTAATTATTAAATAATTTATTAAAAAGATTTAAATGGTCATATCCCATTGAAGTAAACTAGTAAAAGAGGTTAATTTAAATTTTTATATATATATAAATTTATATTGAGTGAATAAGTAGAAGTATATAATATAAAATAGGAAAGATGTACTAATAACCTAAGAAATTATTATGTGAATATTTAATATTAAACTTATTATGATGTAATATAGTTTTAATTTGTGTAAAAAAGCCTAGAAGTATTTCTCATAATCTAATAATTAAGAATCATTTGTATTCTCTTGACAATTTTAGCCTAATAGCAATATTTTGATCACAAATTAGGATTTATTTTACATTACTAAAAATGAGGGCTTTTGATAAATAAACAAACCATAATTGTTAATAAACACATATTTATGATAAGAGTATTGGCAGATAAACTACATCATCTTTTGAAGGCAATTGTTATTTTGATAAAATAATCAAGAAAAAAAAAACAATAACTTTCATTTAGTTTCTGAGTATTCGAGATCCTTTATTTCCATTTTTATTCTTCTTCTTTTTAATATTGTACTATTAGATATCTATATTTTTTGAAAATATACTTACATTCTACAATTTTTGATTAGGTCTATAGATTTTATACATTTTTGTTTCAACGAGAAGAAATAGTTGATTTGAAGTAGATTGTGTTGATTTGGTTGTCTTCTAAGGAGATTAATCTTTTTTACTGCTACATGTGCATCCCATTAAATTTTTAATAAGAAAATATCTTAACAAAGAATTAGAAATTTTAATTGAAAATTTATAATCAAAAATTTCAGATATTGAACATTTCTAAAATACATATTATTCTCAAACTATTCTCTTAATGAAGTATAAATTATTATTAATAATTAATCTAAATTCATTACCATTTTTTAATGAATAATCAAATACAAGGGAATAACAATTAAGCACAATAAGGAAATCAGGGTTAGCAATAAGGAGGATTTGGATTCTTTAAAATAATTCTAACCTTTATAGGAATTAATTATATGATGTCATTATTTCAATCAAATTCTCGTGTAGACACTTATTTCAACATCTTAAATTCAAATAGTCTATTTAATTTAACAATTACAAACAACGTAACTGATTGGACATTAAGTGAATTAGATTTAATTTATAGTAAAGACACCATGATTGTAAAGAACATTACTTTAACTGGAGAAGAAGTATAAATATATATTATATAAGCTACTTTAAAATCCATATTTTAAAATATCATTAGGAAACAGCAATTTTAATATATAATCTAGTTTTTCATTAACAAAACTTATGAAAGTGTAATAGAATGAAAAAAAGAATTTGTTATTTGATAAACATGATGAATATATGATTAAGAAAGCAGATGAAAATTAAACAAATTCAAAATATGAATGGCATGTTAAAAATAAATAGTATTTATTATTTGTGCATGATTCAAATTCTTATCCAAAAAATTAAATTCCACCATAAATTAAATGTATAATTTAATTGATTTATAAATTTAGATCGATTCTAAAGAACAGAAGAAGGTTTTATTTACACTCCAAATCTAGATGTAGATAACTATTTTTTAAGAAAGAAAGATCATATATTAATATAAACAAATGAGACATATGAAATTCCAATAGAGTTTAGTTGTTATTATTCTTGGAAATATTATATGATAGATTCTTTAAAGAATGCAGGAAAATTTTATGAAAATTTGGGAATGGATATATATGATGAAATAGCTGAAGATAATACTAAAGAGATGCTTTTTGAAACTAATTTTTATTTAGTTGCAGTAACTATGATAGTTAGTTTATTACATACAATATTTTCAACATTAGCAATCAAGAATGACTTTTAATATTGGAAGAATCTGAATTCATAAGAGGGAATATCAATAAGAGCTTTATATACAAATTTTGTTTTCGATATCATAATTACTTTATATTTACTAGACAATGAAACTTCATATCTAATTATAGTTTAATAATTTGTTGAATTAGGATTGATGGTATGGAAAATTACAAAAACTACCAAATTCAAAATAATCAATGTGTTTCCATATGTACAATTTTTGCATTAAAAATCATATGAATCTAAAACTTAATAATATGATTAAAAAGCTGCTAATTTTTTGTATAAGTTATCAATACCATTATTTGGTGGTTATCTTATTTATGCTCTTATTTATTAAGAACACAAAGGAATTTACTCTTTTATTATAGAAAGTTTAGTAGAATTCATTTATTTATTTGGTTTTATAAATATGACTCCATAACTCTTTATAAATTACAAATTAAAATCAGTAGCTCATTTGCCTTGGAGAACAATGATATACAAATTTTTGAATACTATAATTGATGATTTATTTGCATTTATAATAACAATGCCATGGTTAAAGAGATTAAGTTGTTTTAGAGATGATATAATATTTTTAATATATATATATCAAAGAAGAATCTACAAAGTAGATCCTAATAGATTAGTAATTATTATTATTAGATATTTAGGATGCTGGATATTCATAAGATATAGATGCAAAATAAGAAGTAACAGATGGTAAAGAAAAGAAAGATTGATTTTTTAATATTTATTGTACATTCATTTTTAAAGAACCTCTCATCATTTTTCTTAAATAAATTTATAAAATAAGATTTATTGTGGTTTTATTTTTTAAAGTAAGAATTTTTGTATTGTTTTTTTGCTTTAGAGTTTTAAAATAAGTAAAACAATTAATTTTATTTTTAACAATCAAATGTCTAGCTACCCATAAGTAGGGTTGTTTGATAACCAATTAACTAATTTAGATTCTCTTTCTAATGATGTACATCTTATATAGTAAACACTCCATGGATGGACCTCAATTTTCAGTCAACTTATGGAGATTAGTATTGAAACACATAAACAAAATCAGTCCAATGTAATGTAAAATTATTTAAATACAGACTGCATTACTTTAACATTTGATGGCTAAAATGCATCGTAGATCCAAACATTCTTAACCTAAGGACTAGATTAAGCTATCCCCCATTAGACCCATCAAGACTGAACCAGATGATATCTTAAAACTTGAGAATTTTTCTAAGATCTTTAATAATCCTAAGAAGGTATATCAAACTGGGAAGTATAAAGATTTCGATCATGTAGTTGTAAGGGACACCATTCGATTCAGCTTATGAAAGCTTAAATAAGGAACTAGAAGAACCAACAAGAGATGAGTAATATCTTTCTGTTCCTAAGTCTATACAATTACCTACTGAATAAAATAAGAAAAAAAAGAGTAAATAAATAGATCTTCATCCTCAGAGTACTAAAAATTAATATGAAAACAAACAATTTGCTTTTAATAAACCCACTCATTTATAAGATGTTAAATCTAATAAAGAAAATAATTTAAATTAATTGTCTATTAATAGACCAGAATCTAAACGCAATTTAGATTGTCCTCAATTATCAACTGTACTTGAAGAAAAATAATCTGCATTGATAACTCCAAATGAAAATAATTTTAAATGTAAGATTTAAAAAAAATACTTATTAGATTCAATTGCATAATCATATAGATAATACGATTAATGTAGCACTTCAAAGGCTTCATAAAATAGTTAAAGACCACCCAATTATTTATAATAATAATAGTTATAATCAGAAAATAATAGATCTTCATCAAAATCTTGTTATGGAGCTAATAGTAATCTCTAACAATAGGTACTTACAAATAACATCAATATTATGAATTCACCATAGAATTTTTAATTGATACAATAATAAACAACTTAAAATCAATCTTAAAATAATTTGATTAGTTCAAGCACAAAAAATGTTAAATAACAAAATTCATAGAATAATAATGTTTCTAATAAATAGCCAATTGAAATAGTTAATTAAGTAATAATTTTTAAATATATTAAGATTCCAAGTTAAAGAGCCAAAAGTTATAGTGAATAAAATGGTAAAAAATAGTTAAGCAAACGTTGTTTAGATATTGATTTATTAGATAAATAATATGAGACTAGTTAGGAGTTAATTTGGAAGGTTTAGAAAAACAAGAAATGAAATATTATATTATATATATTTTAATTTATGGTTTACAAATTTGAGGCTGTACCTTGGGGTTTAAAAACTGTTTGGTATTTTTAAGAACTCAAAGATTCAGTGCCCTAAATTCTTACTATTGTTAATAAGAAGAAATTTGATGCAATAATTATGCCAATATTCCCATCTAATATTGAAAGAGAAGGAAATATTAATGATTTTATCAAGCATTCATATTTAAAATCAGAATTAGAAGTTAAATCAGATGACATCTAGAAATTACACTTTCTAATCTCCAATCTCAGTTTAAGTGATTAAAATAAAGAGTAAAGAAAAAAGAATAGAGAGATATTGAAATAAGAAATATAATTTGCAGCATATTTGGGTGTACCATCAATTATTATAAATTCAAATAGTGATCCAAATAAATTGGCTAAATTCATAAGAAAAGTATAATATCTTTATAAATTTAGATGTCTATTAAATATTTTATTGATTTTAATACATTTGTTTTGGATGTTGACATCACAAAAGATTGGAATAAATATAATTAAATTAGATAAGAATTATAATTCAATATTCCAATACTTCTTAGATTAAAGAAAGAGATGACAACAAAGGTAATAGTTATAATTATTAAATATATAGAATGAATAAAGAAAATGGTTATCTGAAAATATAAGATTTGTGCATTTGAATCAAGAACTCTTTTCAATGAATGATTAAGGAGCTCCAAAATTAGATGATGTCTAAAATTAATTTTTGACTTCATATTTTCCATTTGAAAATTATATTTCAATATCTGCAAAATCTCCTTAGATAGATTTAGCTGATCATAGATAATATATGATTCATTTATTCAAAAATTAATAACCCTTATCAGAATAAGCTAATTTAGCATCAGAATTTTTTGATGAATTATAAATTCCTCTTTAACCTTATAAAGATAATTTGAATTCAGGAACATATGAGGTTTTTGAATAAGATAAAATAAAATATGATTTATATGAAGATGCATGTAGAAAATACTTAAAAAATGTAAAGAAAACTGAAATCAATATTTTAATGGCAGGTGCTGGTAGAGGAGGTATTTTAGAGAGAGTGATTTTTGCTGCTTAAGGTGCAAAATGTAAAACAAAAATAGTGGCATTAGAAAAGAATCCATATGCATATATGACATTAATGTTTTAAAAAAAAAGATAAAAATAATGGAAAGATGTTGAAATAATTTTGGATGATTTAAAATCTTGGTAAACAGAATTAAAATTTGATTTAATTGTTTCTGAATTATTGGGTAGTTTTGGAGATAATGAATTATCACCTGAATGTTTATTATGGGCTTAAAAGTTTTTATAACCTGATGCTGTAAGTATTCCTTGTGATTCTGTATCTTATTGTGTTCCAGTAAGTTGTCCCTAATTGCATGCAAAAGTTAAGAAAAGTTATGGATATGATTCTAGTTATGTAGTTCATTTTTAGAAATATTACACAATACATGATATTTAAAAATGTATGTAATTTAAACATCCAGATTTTAATAATGAAAATCAATTAGCATAAGAATAAGTATTAATATTTAATTTATTATAAATAGAACTTAATTTTTGAATGTAAATAAGATTTATTAATAAATGGAATGGCTGGTTATTTCACTTCGAAATTATATGAAGAGATTGAACTAAGTACACATCCAAATAATAGTACTCCAGATATGTACTCTTGGTTTCCTATTTATTTTCCTTTTGAAGTATTTTAATTAATTTAATTAGAAACCTGTAAATATTATAAAGAAATAAAAATTGAAATTCACAATTAAGAGAGTAAATAATGAAGAGGGAGTTTGGTATGAATGGTTTAACTAAGTGTTAAGTGAAGATGATTAAATATTGGATAGTAGTAGAATTCATAATGAAAATGGAAAAAAATAAATAATTGAAATAAAGTGAATATATATCTAAATTGTGTATATTTATAAATACAATTTTTTTAAGGATATTGAAGAACTAATTTTTTTGGAAGAAAACAGATTAAATTTATAATGGCAAAGAAAATGATGAGTCAACCTGGTTTAGTTGAAGAATTTATTAAAATAGTTGATAGTTTTGGAGGAGAAGATTGTAGAAATTGGGCTCATGTAGCAAGAATTCTATATAATGCTTGTTAATTTCAAGTTAAATCTCCTTAAAAACTTAAACGTGTTTATGAGACTTTGAAAATTCCTAAATAAGAATTATCTAATTTTTAATTTTCAAAGTTATTAGAAATAGACATAAAATGTCGTGGAAATCATATAACAGCAACTAAAGATTTTCTTAATGAAACTGGTGTTAGAATGTCTTAGTGTAGATTTAAAGAACATGCTGTTTTGGGTATTAGAAATACTTTGAAGGCTTTAGTTAAAATATTAGGAACTTAAAAGAAAACTATGTAACCAATCTTAAGTAGGTTTTCATATACATCAATTCAAATAATGTTTAGAGCAGCTGATTGTAAAGATTAGGATATTTAAATATAAGAAATAAAAAGATATGCAAAATTGTTTGAATAAGCTTATTTGATTTATGCTGAGAATCATTTTAAAAGTTAACCAGATTTATTTGATCTATTGAAACCAATTATGAATAGATTACAATTCAGAAGATGTTTATTTTATTTATTTTTTATTGATGAATTGAAATCAATTTCATTAAAATAAATAAAAGATGATTATGATTTAAAAAATCATCCATTATTATAGAAAACAATAGAATTAAATAAAAAATTACCATTTTATTAAAAAGTAGTTAATTTATGTGATAGAGAAGAGAAATATAATATGTATTGCAATTATAATAATAATGATGATTAATTTTTTAAAATATATTTAGATGAAAATCAATTAAAAAAAAGATAAGCTCTTTAGATAAGAAAATAAAATGAGAATCTTAAAACAGTAAGAGGAAAGATTCATTAACCAGGAGATTAATTATTTAGGGGATGGAAAACAGTTGTATTTTAACCAGATGAAGATATAATGACTATTGATAGAGAAGCTTAATTGAAATAGGAATTGAAAAGAAAAAGAATGTAAGAATTATATGAAGTTGCATTTGGAGAAGATAATAATTGATGAAAAAAAATAATAATTGATTAAACAATAATATTAATAAATAAATATGCCTGTACCAAATAGTTCATATCCGATACCATTAAGAACAGTTTTAAAAATAGCACCTGTATGTATGGTACTCACAACTTTGGGAACATTATTACCAGTGTGTTTATATGATATCTTGTATCATTCCCATGAGAGAATCGATAAATTCTTTTGGAGATCAAGTAGATTTGAAAGATTCATCAGATGCAGAGATATGAAATTGCGTACATTTTGGTATGAAGCAATGGAATGGTAACCCAGTGGTAGAGAAAGCTTTATTTAGACTAGACCACAAGTAGCTGATCCTTGAGAGATGTGAAAATATATAAATCAAATAATTATTATGTTCATTATGTGTGTAATTTCTCATTTGCCCTAGTCTTGAAACCATTGAAATCCCATTTAGTTTCCACTCTCTCTGGCTATTCAATATGTGTTCCTTATTCATCAACATAAGCTATTTAAATCACATCATGAGCTCTGCAATCTCTACAGAATAAAACCTATAATTATTATTTTGAATTATACTTTAAAACATTCTTTAATCACTTATTTTGCTTATTCAAGAGTGCAATTTTCATTCCAATAATTACTGATTATTGCTTTACAGAAATAGCTTGCAAAACCAGTGGTCACAAAATTTGATTCCAAGTATGTACCATAAATATCTACAAGTGCTAAATATCTTTCTCCATTATGAAATCCCTAAAATAAGGTGGAATATCCTTACAGCTATAACATTTTGTAAATATAATGGATTAATTTTACATCTCTTTTTATATGACAATCTCGCTAAGTAATTTCCATAATCTCTAGGTGATGGATGAACTCCATCATCATATTATAAAGCTTATCTATCAATTTTTGCTAATTCCTTCACTACTTATTAGAAATCTGAAAATTCACCGCTTGATACATAAATTGTGTTTTTAGAAACCTGAGCAATCTTTTCTACATTTCTATATGTAAGTTATGCATTTGTACTTGAATTCTGCCATACTCCCATAACTACAAAGTGTATCTGTTCCAATTACTACTCCACCATTATAAACTAATGCTATTACACTTCCTCCAGTTACTACAGGTGATGTTGTATGTTATTATTGAGCTGATATTTCAGAATTGAAAATCATTATGTATATATTTAAAAATAATTAATACTGATGTGTTATATAATATTAATCTATAAAATAGTATGGAAATCATTAAAATCAAAAAAATAGAATTGTTCGATTTATTAAAAATTAAATTAATGCTGCATTAATATAATATTGATGCCATTAATTAATTTTATTTAAATCTAATTGATACCATAATCTTAAGAAAAAGTTATATATATAAAATATGTCATCATTCACATTATAGAATTCAAATAAGATTTGAATGATTTTTATGTTTCAATTAGAGAATTCAAATTTTCTTTAATTTTACTTGATTTATTCTGCAAACTTACTTTAGCCATAATTTATGGATTATTTTATAATACTTCATCATATTCTTTCTTTAATTAATCATAATCATTTTAATAGAATTATTAATGTGTTTCTAATAAAGACATAGCATTTTCAAGTATTTTTATTAAAGGATCTGCAGAATTTTTTTATGGTGATTGATTTTTTTTAGATACCATTTTTTATAGCAAATTTTTAATAGTTTTTGTATGCACAAGCTTAGTATCACTTAAACTTTTTTAAAGTGCAGCATTAGAGTTTGGTATTACAGATATATTATCTTTTTATTAGACATCCTACATATCTAAAGAGTTATGATGATCATGATGAAATGTCCTATTTGATGGAGAATGAATGACTGATCGAACTTTAGATTTACGATGCATTTTAACATATTCAATCAAATTTTTTATTTAATTATTTCTATGTTATCTAGCATCTATTTGAGAAGATTTTAAAGTTTAAGAGTATTTTTCTAGAAATGTTAATTTGGAGCTTACAAATTCCAAACTTATTGATGATAATTGATCAAGCATTCCCATAATTTGCTCAAATAACATTCTATATTCCTAATCTAATTACGTAATAGAGCTCATGTTTATAATCGTTAAGTATTTTTAATTATTTTAATTTATGGATCAAGATCCTTTGATATAGTTTCATCATCTCCTCAAATAGAAGTTTGTAATCACTGAGAAATAATTCTGGGAATTAAGTAATGATGAAGGTCATTCTGCAGAACAAGAAATTGAATTAGCCAAAGAATTAATGATGTAAGAAAGACATATTTAATTGATTGACTAAACTATAAAGTAAATGGATTAAATGATTTTAGATTGAGGAATCAAGATAAAACATTAAGCTTTGCATTCCCATTAAAATATGCTATGAATTTAATATAAAATCCAGACATCATTTAAGAATATAAAGAATATAATGTTATTGATGTTTCTGAAGAATTTGAAAAGATTGTAATTATTTTGTTATTAATAACTAAAGAATCTTAATACTATAACAGAAGAATAGGTTAAAGGATATTTAATAATGAAATTTGATGATACAGGTAGTTAAAAGAGTGATGCATGGGAAGATGATTTAGGTGAAGTTGTTGAAGTGGACAATTAAGAATTAGAAGCTTTAGAAAAAGAAGTTGATTAATAGGAAGAAAAAATAATGGAAGAAGAAGAATAAATGATAAAATAATAGCCTGAATTAATAGAATAAATTGAAGAAAATCATGTTGATCCAAATTGGAAAATAGATGAATCTAAAGCATTATTGAAAATTCATAATAAAGTTATATGCACATTTTCTTAGAATCCTATTTCTAAGGATATGATTGCTAGTGGTTCTGAAGATGATTATCTTAAAATTATTAAACTTAGCAATTAAAAAGTAATATTTGAAAAAAAATATGATGAAACTGTAGGATTAGTTGATTTTAGTTATGATGGTAAATATGTTGCTGCTGGTATTTTAACAGGAAAGATTTATATCTATTTATTAAATGATATGAGTGAAAAAGTACTTGATGGAAGTTAAACAGAACCAAGTGTATTGAAATGGCATCCAAAAGGAAATGTTATTTTAGCAGGATTTTAAGATTCTACTTTATGGATGTGGAATGGAGTTAATGGTGAAGTAATGAGTGTATTTGCTGGACATGAAGCAGAAATTACATGTGGTGGTTTCACTTTAGATGGTAAATTAGTTGTAAGTGGTTCAGCTGATCAATCATTTAGAGTTTGGAAACCAAATAGTTCTGAATAAATTGTTAAAATAAGTTCAATTTCACATAAACACAATTATCATAAGGATGATGTTGTATGTTTTGTATAACATCATAAATAACCAATAATATCTACTGGTAGTAGTGATTCAACTATTGCATTTATCAATTTTGAAGATGGAAAAGTATATAAAATAATAATATTAACTTTTAGGTTATTAGTAAAAGTGATCCATTAGGAGATAGTATTGTTGAATTATGTTTTATAGGAACTAATTAACCTATTATTGTAGCAGGAGATATTTTAGGATCTATATATATCTACAATTGGAATTCAATGAAATTAATTGAAAAATTATGCTTATGCAAAGTAATTTATAAATAAATATGTTTTTTAGAATTCTATTACAAAAATATTATTTTATAATCAATAATTCCATATATCTAGTTTAGATGGTAAGATTGTCACATTTGATGTAAGATAAATGCATAATTACAATGTACTTTAAGCTAAATCAGGAATATATGAAATGATAGTTGAAGAAGGATGGATATTAATTGGATGTGAGAATGGTTATATATATGTATATTGATTTTTTCTTTATTTTATTTAATAATTTAAAATTATTAGGAGGATTGATTTCTTTTATTAAATAGTTAAAAATGATATAAAGAATCAAAATATAAATTAATTTTAAATTAATAATAATTATAGATTATAATAAAAAGTTATTCAAAGATTTCATTATTTAGCTAATAAAGCTTAATAATTTTAATTCAAATTTTCATTTTCTTTTCTTAATTATTCATTTTCTAATATATATCCACTTAAACAACCTAAATGTCTTTTAATAGAGATCTAAGAATAAATTATATATATATTAATACATTTTCATCTTATAATTATTTTAATTAGACTTTCATAGAGTCATTTTCTAATTAAGATTTATTGATCTCAAATTTTAATTAATCAATTTAATCGTTAGAACCTTAATTAAATTTTCTTACTTTTGTTTTTAATTCATCTATTTATTTTAATCTTTCTTAGTCTAATAAAAGATTTTATGTTTATGCTTCTAGTATTTATTTTGTATATTAATCCTTTTCAAATTTAAGTCTATTAATTTCTTATTGTAAATCATCAATAGATTTTTCAGCTTTTAATAATTATCGCTTATGTTTATCACAATCACCAGTTTTTTATAAAATAATTTCAGTCAAAATCTTCTATTCACAATCTTAACCTCTAAATTTATTTAATTCCATCAATTAAAGATTGTTTTCATTTTTTAATTATTAGATTTCTTCCATCTTTGGTATGAGTGATTAATTCAATCTCTAATTCTCTTCTATTAAAAGTTAGATTCTAGATTCAATCTTACTATAATCTCCATCTTAATTCTCTTTGTTATTACATACTTTAAGTTACTACTACATAAACAGTCTGTTAAAATTTACAAATAAAATTAATCAACGTTATAAATAAATGTAACATTAATATTGCACAATAATATTATGGAAGATGATACTGTTAAAATGTATAAAATGGTCAAGTTCCAAAACAAATATGTATCTTTTAGTTTTAATAAATAAAATATTAATTTATATATATATATATTTTCATTCACTTTCACTAGAATTATCTTCTATAAAAAACTATTAATTGAATTGATTGTCATTTGGATCCATACATTCTATGTACAATAGATTTTTTAAAAATGGATTTTTGGTCTATTTATAATATTTAGGAATATCATTTCTGCTTGTATAAAATCCTAATGCAGCAAATCTAGGAGAATTTTCTGCTATTTCTTCATCGTGTTTGTCTGATTTACCTTCATAATGAATGACAAGATATTTAATTTTGCTTGCCTCTTAAGATATCTTAAGTCTTTTGATAGTTCCAACATTCCATACAAAATTTGGATCTCTTACATCTATTTATTATCCTACATCTATAGAGGAAACTCTAAAAATTATAATATGATTATACTGTTTCTTTTTTCTCCATTCCTTATTTTTAATTTTATCCATTTCATAAGTTTTTAATTCTTCTGGATGATGTGATTTTATAAATTCATGAATCATTTAATCTAATAAATAACAATATGCAAATTTAGATTTTCTCATGTTATCATTGCAAATATGACATCCTTTGAAATAAAGCAAATATTCATGTAAACATATTTCACAAAAGGTGTGTCCGCATTTTAAAGAAACAGCTGCCACAATATAATTTAAACATATTGGACAAATGAAATCATTCTTATCATGTATTATATCCTCAATATTCTATTGACTATCATTATCTTAACTTTAGATCTTTAACTTCTCATTTTACTTTTAGATTTTCTTCTATTGTTTGTTCATATTAATCCCTTTAAAATTTTGTATAAATATATATATATTATTAAACCTTTATTAATGTAAAAAAAAACTAAAAATTGCAAAGAATGAAATCTAGTTAAAATGATAATAAGATAATAAGAATTTATAGTAACATTGAAATATTACAATTGAACTGTATTTCTAATTTTATAAATATTTATATATATATATATATAATTTTTAAAAAATAATGTAACAACCTGTCCCAACAACTACTGGAGGTTCACTCTAACCAATTTTATCAAATTAAAGAAGTCAATCTGCAAAACCTTCGTTGATGACATTATAAAATCAAAGAACAGTTTAATCAGCTATGTAAAGAAGTCCTGTACTTCCATCTGCCCAAAGAGTACCATCTGGAATAGGAAGCTTTGCTTAACCAACCAATAATAGTCAACGCATATAGAGTGGTTATACAAGAATTCAAAGTGGCTAAACTAGAGTTGGTGGTACAAGAATATAGAGTGCAGCAAAATCAACAAGAAGTATTGTAAAGGAAATGTTTCATATTGAACCAAAAGAAATAATATTTGAAGATATCAAACCAGGAATTCTTTATGAACAAATATTGAATGTCTAGAATTTAGCTAAATATCCTGTCAGAATTAGAGTACAACAACCTAAAAGTAATTATTCTTATTTAAAAAAGCTTCTAAATTTAGAGCTGATTATGATATGTAATAAGGTATAGCAGCTGGATTAGGACTAAAGGTCTTAATTTTATTTAAAGAATCAGAAAGAGATATTGCTGCATTAAATCAACATTAGAAACCTCCTCCTTTTTATAAAGATGTAATTGTTATAGAATCTGATGAATTTAGAGCTGAAGTACATTTAGCTGCATATAGAGCATGTTCGAAATTAAAATTTAATGAATTCATTGATTTTGGATTTGTATAATAAGGTACAGAAAATACAAAATCATTAATGATTTAAAATGTTGGATTTGCAGATGCTAAAGTTTAAGTTAAAAGTGATGTTTTAAATCTAAGAGCTTTACCTAATCTAATAACAATTGCACCTGGAGAATATCAATAAATTAGCATTATTTATAAAGCTAATGAAATGGGCAATTTTAGATAAACTATGGATATAGTAAGTGAGAGTGGAACATAAAAATTGGATATTGCTGCTTGTTCTGTTGATTACACAAGATTTCTAATGGATTCTAAAGGATCTTAAGTAACATCCTTAGATTTTGGAGAACTTTATATGGGTAAAACTAAAGTTATTAAATTAAAATATGTAAATAATGCTCCAAAAGGCCATTAATTTAAAATTATTACTAGAAGAGGCATTATAAATCCAAATGATGATATTGTTAATCTTTAAACTCCAAATGAATTAGGTATAGAATAGAGTGAGAAATTATTGGTTATATAACCATCTTCAGGATATGTTTAGGCATATTCCAGTGTTGAATTATCATTAACTTGTATGATTCAAATAACTCCTAAAGAATAATAATAAGCAAAGAAAATCTGTTTTGGTGTTGATGTAGAAAAGGATTAAATGAGTAGAGAAATTAAATATTCAATTATTGTTTAATAACCTGATGAAGACTTAATTGCTTATACTAATGTTAAAGCTTTACTTCCTTTAGTTAGAATATCTAAATAATCATTATAATTTGGAGATTGTGATGTCAATGACAATAAAGATATTCTATTTACAATTTCTAATTTATAAAATTATCCTGTAGATATTACATTCCAAAAAGTATCTTGTTTCTTTTTTAAACCTGAAAATGTTACAATTAATGGTTTATCTTAAACTACTGTATAAGTTAAATTTACTCCAAAAAATGTTGGAAAATATAGTCAAAGTATAGATATGATACTAAATGATTATTTAACTATTCCAATTAAAGTAAATGGAGAAGCTTTAAAGATAGCTAAAAAGAGACCTTAAACTAGAGGACCTGAAGCAAGAGAAGAAGATTTTTAAATAGATCCTAAATTCATTGACACTAAAGAAATAGAATATATTAAAAAGAGAAATAATGATCTTATTGAATAAAATCATTAACCTGGCAATATTGTAGAAGGATATTTTGAAGATACATAAAAAAAGCCAAAACCTGCTACATAGACTAACAATTTTTTATAAGATTCAAGAAATAATAGATTAGAAAAATAAAGATAATAAATAATTTAATAGAGGGTTGAAACAATTACAAAAGCATAAGAAAAGTAGAAAGATGAAGGATCTAAACCACCTAAAGATTATGAATTTGAGTTAGGATTATAAGTAGATAATATGGATAATGATATTGAGATTCCATATCATAAAGAAGGTCTTTATGTTGTAAAACCATTTTAATAATATGAACCTTTAAAAAGATAAGATGATGAATTAGTAGATTTTAAACCTGATCCAAAATAACCAGTCAAAAGAATTTTATCAGGAAGACCATAATCTCATAAATAAGTTAGAGATGTAAATAGAGAATTAACAGCAGAAGATTTGAAAAGAGTTTAAGCTGGTCCTATAAAGATTGATTATGGTACAATTTATATTAATACTCCTATGTCAAGGACATTCTTTATTCATAATAATTTAAGATATGCTATAATAGCTAGACTTTGTATTGATAAAAAAGAAGAACTTAAAAAGACATTTTAAGAACCTTAAGTTATTGATAGTGGTGAAGAAGGATAATTTGAAATTATTGTATAAGCTCAATCATTAGGATAATTGAAATAAACATTAAGATATATTTTAAATGAAAGACATTCATTTGAAATTATGGTTGTTGCTAATGTAGAATCTGTTAAATTAGAAGTTTCTAAAACAACTATTAAAATGTAATTTAATGAAGATGGAGGAATGAGTGTAAATGATTCAATAAAATTAAGTAATAATGGTGTTGGACCAGCATAATTTAATTTTATATAAGCTGAAGGATCTAAATTTACACTTGATTGTTTAAGTGGAATAATATAAGGATAATCTAATTAAATTATTTAAATTACTTATACTCCAAGTAAAATAATGAAAGATCCTTAAGATACTGAAAGTGATGTAGTATTTAAAAATTAGAATCCAACAAGATAAGATGAAGAGAAAATTATATTAAAAGTTAAGGATGGTTCTGAAGTCTAATTGAAATGTATAGGATTAGTAAGTGATGTAAAATGTGTATGTAAAAATACTGTAGAGTTTTCAGAAATTTGTGTTGCTTAAGAAAAGACTTTACCATTTTAAGTTAAAAATACAAGTAGAAACAATGCAATATTTAAAATTTTAACAGATTATTTACCTATGGGTTGTAGTGTTACTCCATCTTCTGGTAAAATATTACCTGAAGAGAATAAAGAATTTAGTGTTAAAATTAATTGTGATAAATCTATTAATATTAATACATAAATATTGTTGATGCTCAGATCAGGAAGGGTAATAAGGATACCATTAACTGCTTAATGTATTGTTCCTAATGTTATTATTACATAATAATTATTTGATTTTGGTGATGTTACTACTTTAGGTAATTAAACTGCTTTACCTTTAACAATTACAAATAAAAGTAATGTTGAAGTGAAATTAATTTTTGATTTAAGAAATGAAGATATAAATCCAGAAGCTAATGAAGGAGTTGGATGTTTAATATTGAAATAATAATAAGAATTGTTAAAGAATTGTACAGAAGAAGAATAATAAGAAGAATCAGATGATGATCTACTTTCATCTGCAAGAATGAAAAAGAAAATGATATGTCAAAATAAAAAATATATATTAAATATGACACCATAACAAACTGCATAATTTTAATTACATTTTTATCCTAAAGAATTAAAAAGATATTCATTTTAATTACCAATAGAAATCTATAAATTTGGAGTTATTGATTCTATTAAAAGAATGGTATAAGTTTATGGATGTTCACCTAAATTTATTGTTGAACCTAAAACTGTAGATTTCCCAAGAAAAATTATATTATCACCACCAGAAAAGAATAAACCTAATATTTAAGAAATTTTATTATCTAATCCTGAATATAAAGGAATATAATTTAAAATTTAGATTGATGCTGATAGTGGTAATATTCCATCGGTTTTTTAAGTAATTCCTCTTGCTGGAAGAGTTGATGCTGGTTAAACTTTAAGAGTTAAAGTTATGTTTAATCCAAGATATGAGGGAACATATTCTAAATAAGCATAAATTTATCTTGAAGATAGTAAACCAGGATAACCATATTTAATTGTATAACTTCATGGAATAGCTGCAAAACCTAGTATTCAATTTGATAGAAGAGAATTAATACTTTGTCCTGTTCCTTTAGGGATAGAATCTAAATTATAATTTAAAGTTTTTAATGATGGATTTGAAACATAAAAATTATCAGTTAAACCATTAGAAGGATTTACAGTAGAGTTTTTAGATGGTTAAACTGTTGGAATTACAAAATAACATTTAGATATGATGATTAAATATACAGCATAGAATCCAATTTCAATTTCATAAACTCTAGAAATTATTGATGAAACTCAACATAGTTATAGTATTAGTGTATCAGCTACAAGTGATAATTGTTCATTTACAACATGGATGTATGATAATTAATCAGAAATTACTCTTGTTAAGGGAGTACCACATTTAATAGAAATAAATTAAACTGATGAATCTGAAGACAGTAAGGAGTCTATTCATAGAAAATTAACATCTACTTAATAAATATCAGATAAAGCTATTGAAAGTAAATGTGAACATATTTAAAGATGGTATAATTAATTTGTAGGATAATTGGATTTATTTCCAAATTCTATTATTTTAATGTAAGGTCATCACATTTTTGAACTCATTTCATTTCTAACAGGTAAAACATAATTTCCCTTTAAAGCTCAATTATAAGGTATTAAATAAAAGTCTTAGATTTCCTAATTGCTTTTTTAATAATACAAAGAATTATTACTTCAATTAAAAGTAGATGGAGCATTATTAAATTAAATTCGTCCTTGTTATTTACTTAGTTATGATGATTATTAATTGTATTTAAAAACAATTGAAATGAAATTCACACATCCAGATTATCAAAAATATTCATAATAACAATTTGATTAAGTCTCTAAATATTCTTATTTGATACTTTTTACTTAAATCCTTCGTATTTATTATTTACCAAGAGTTACTTTAAAAGCTATGAGATAAATAAATGGAAGTATTAATGAATATCCTTAATCAAATGTTTATTCTAATTAAGAAATGCTTATTTTAAGATGGATTGAAATATAAGCTACATAATATTGGAAAGAATCAAAGAGTGTAAGAATTATTAATTTTGGAATGTTAAAAGATGCTCATATTTTAACAGCAATGTTATTAAGTTATTTAGGTCCAGGTGGTTTGAAATACTTTTAACCTTTAGGTTAAATAACCAAATAGGAATAAGATTGTAGTCGCAATATGTCTATTTTTTTAAAAGGTTTATAAGATATAGGTATTGAATCTCATTTAGTACTCAATGATTGTGTAAATATGAGTAATCCTGAATCTTTATTGATGTTAATGCTTTTATATACATAAGTACCTAATTTCATGCCAAAGAGGGAACCTTTAATTTTTAAATGTGTTTTAGGATCAATAGTAATGAAGACAATTACTTTATCAAATGTTACTCGAGATCCTATAGTATATTTTGTTAAATTGGAAGGTTCTTCTGATTTTTCTATTGAAGAAGATTAAGTTAAAATAGAACCAGGAGGCAAATATAATTATAATATAAAATTCACTTCAAGGATTAGTGATGAATAAACAGCTTTAATTACTTTTTGTAATAAAAAAGGAAATAAAAATATAGCTGCTGCAATAGTATATGAATTAAAAGGAATAATATCAGAAAGAATGAGTTAAAAGATATGGACTGTTAGTTCAGTTATGTATGAAATGAAAGAATTTAGTATAACTGTTTAAAATACTTTTACAAATGCAGAATTTGGTCATTTTACTATATAAATAGTACCAATTAAAGTTCCATTAGTTATAGAGACACCAAAGAAAAAAAAGAAAGCTATGTCAATGGCTGAAAAGAAAAAAGAATCAGATATTGAATTAAAAGAAAAATAAAGATTGGAGAAGTTAACATCAATAGAATTCCCTCCAGCTTTCTTTTGTAAATAAGAGAGTATTAGATTGAAAAGAGGAGCATAATATAATTTACCAATGTAATTTTTACCAACATAATTACATTAATAAAAATGTATGGTTGTATTTTAGGATCTTTAAGTAGGTGAATTTCAATATGAAATTCATGGTAATGTTGAACCTCCTGAAGTTTTATATGATCTTAAACCTGATCTTTAAGTTTTTATAGATCAAGTAGCATCTTTTTATCATCATGTCCCATTTTTTAATCCATAATTAAAGTCAGCATTGAAATAAGTGGATTAACTCACTATTGAAAAGAAGAAAATAATAAATAGATAAAATTCTAATTCAGTTACATTATAAACTAAACCTAATTTACCAATGGAAGATGTTATATTTTCTGTTTAATTAGAAGAACCATAATCTTATATTAGTTGTGACAAAATATTTTAATTGGTTAATTATCAATAATTATTATTAAATCATACTAAAAATTCAGATGATGATGAAGATCCTTAGTAATAACTTCAAAAATCTGATGAAAAATAAAATTTAATTCAATTTTCTATGAATTTCAAAACTGCTGTTAAAGATTATTTGAGTCATTTTATGTTAATTAATGAAACAAAAACTGATGTAAGAAGATTTAGAATTTAATTAACTTCACTTCCAAAACCAATAACAGTTATATTAGAGATGACAATTCCTGCAAGAGAAGTAATAACATAAGAAATTCCTATTGTTAATAATACTGATCGTGATTTTAATCTAAAAATTCATTTAATTGGAGATGATAGATTTTCAATATTAGGTGATGGTTAAAGCAAGAGAAAAAAATAAGAGAAAGCAATAGATAACAAAGATACAAAAGAAAATACCTAAAAAAATAATAAAGATTAAGATTCTCATTAATAAAATATTTAAAAAGAATAATTGATAAAGAAGAAACTTAATAATTAACCAACAAATGGTGCAGTAGTTATATAATTTGCTCCTGATTGGATTTGTGAGGCTAAAGCTAAATTATCTATTATTAATCCTTTAACTAATGACTTCTATGAATATTAATTAATTGGCAAAGGAGAAGAACCATTATCAGAAGGACATTTTACAATTAAAGCAGTTGCAAGATAACCAATTACATAAATTATTCCAGTAACTAATAATACAAATGAAGAACTCAGATATTCAGTAGAAACTGATGTTTTAAATGCTGCTGGTGAACAGGAAATTACTATTTAACCATAAACAACTTATGAATATAAATTAAATATTAATCCCTTAATTAGTGGTTAATTTACTGGATCTATTACCTTTACTGGAAATGGTCATTATAGATGGTGGACTATTTTGTTAGATACTGCTAATCCTAAACCATTAGGAACAGTAGATTTAGTTTCTCCTATTAGAAAAGCTATAGCATTTGATATTGAAATTGCTAATCCTTTACCAGAAAATGTTACATATGAAGTATAAATTATAGGTGAAGCCTTATCAGGTGATCCTTGGTTTTCAGTTTTGCCAGGAGGAACATCAACATATTAATTAATATTTTAACCACTATAAGAAGGAAGATGGAAAGGTAGTATTTCATTTTGCCATCCAAAAATGGGTGAAATATGGTATACATTGAATCTTATTGGGGAAGATCGAGGTGGTATTAAAGTTCCCTAATTTAAAACTGAATTAGGAAAATTAGATAAATGTGAAATGTTACTTGAAAATCCAACTTGTAATACAATTGTTGCAGAAATTGAAAATAGCAATCCTACTAATTTCTCATTAGAATTTGAGGGAGGGCAATAATTACTTTTAGAACCTTACACTTTGAAACCTGTATATGTTGTATTTGTACCTTCAGCTCTTACTGCTCATTCTGGTGAAATATAAATTAAGACTAAGGAAATTGGTAAGTGGATCTTTTTATGTTTTGGAACTGGTGAATCACCAACTCCTTTTTAAGAGACTACAGTCATATGTAAAGCAGGACAATCTGTCACTTAATAAATTGAATTCAAAAATCCTTTAAAAGATTCTTTAACTGTTCAATTAGAAATGTAACAATAAAATGAAAGTGTATTTACTTTATTAATGAAAAGATAAAGAATTACTATTGCTCCATAATCCAGTTTACTAATTCCTTATTAATTTAGTGCTGTTGATATTAAATCATATAAATGTAATCTTGTTCTTACAATGAATAATTAAGTTAAATGGACATATCCTTTATTAGGTTTGATAGAGAATGAAGAGATGAATAATGTTCATTTAATATCAACAAAATGTAGAATTCCTTTAGTTACTAAATTGAATTTAATGTTAGATGGATTAAAAAGTAATGAAAAAGTTATGTATAAAATAACTGATATGGAAATTCTTAAGAAACATTTAAAAATTAATTTACCTGATCATCACATTAAAGATGTCACATAACCTCTTAGTTTTGATATTAGATTTATTCCTTACAAACCTTTTAAATTACAAACTGAATTGTAAGTCAAAGTTGAATCTGGTGGATTATGGAGGTATTTCTTATAATTATATTTATAGATTTAAATTATAAGTAAATGCTCTAGAACCACAAATTGATGATGTTATTGTAATAACTTCTGAAATCAATTAATTAACAAAGGTTAGTTTTAGATTAACAAACAGAATTGAAGAAATAGCTAATTTTAAGGCTTATTTTACACCAGATTCTAATCCTGAATTTACTGTTGAACCTACAACTGGTCTATTAGAGCCACATGGTAAAAAAGGAACAGAATTTAAATTGGGATTTAAACCTAAAGAATATGGGATTCGTAAAGAAGCTAAATTGATTATTGAAACAGATTCAATGTATTGGTATTAAATTCTTTATAAATTTAAGGTCCTATATACTCAAAGGTCATTTACCAAAATACATTCCACCAACTAATGTTAAGGGTCATGGTATTAATAGTGAATTAGCAAAAATTCCTACTCATAATAATGAAAAGAATTTTTTGATAGAAAATATGAAGAAACCAAACAAACATAAATGAAAATTATTATATTATATTTAACTTTAGTTTTAGTAACATATTTCAAATAAAAATGGTAAGTTGAATAAGATTTCCCAAACATTTCTTAACTCTTTTTCCTTCTAATTTTAATCATATAATAAATTGATAATATAATTTTAAATAGATTTTATATGAATAAATATTTTTTAAATCAATTTAATAACCTAATTTAAACCTATTAATTTCAAAGTAAAAATAAATAAAATCTTCAATATATTACAATTTATAGTGCAATTAAAATGAGAATTTTTCTCACATTAGAAAATTTCTATTTTACTCATAACTATACATGTTGTCAAATAAATTAATTTATTCAAATAGGATAAATATAATATTTATCAAAATTAATTATATTTCAACACTCAAAAATATATATAATTTGAACATAAATGATTAAAAAAATTAAATTAATTTATATCATAATCAAAAAAAGAAAATTGTTAAATTTTTAGTTACTATAATATTTCAATATTTTAATTGTTTATAATATTTTAAAGGATTAATAGTTTTGTTTAATTATATTAGGATTTGAACCACTCAGATTAATGTTTAATATGTATTTAAACAGTCTTCTGGAATTACAATCAGATTGATACATTTTTAATATCTAAATTATTTGTTAGGATTATTGTTTTATGATCTATTTTATTTTTATAGAAATAAGTTGCTTTAATTTTGATGATGTAATTATGTAAATAAAGAAAATAATAAAAAGTTATTGATATTTTTAAAATTAATAGGGATTTAGAATAATTGCTAATTATTTTATGAATAACGAGAAATATATATAGAATTTGAGTGATTTCATTACAAATGATTTAGAAAAGGCTTTTGCTATTATAATTTTGATGATGAATACAATTATGATTTTATGGCAAGCTTCAAATTTTCATAAACTTATTAGATTCTATATCAAAATAATGGATCCAACTCTTTTAAAAATAAATACTTTATTGTTTGTTTTAAGCTTAAGTAATAATATATTTTATTTTAAGTAAGGATTTAAGCATATTCTTATGCTGTTTTTGGGTGTTTTCTAAGGGAACCTGAATAATAATTATTTCAACCATCTGTATTTAGAACATTACAATCTTCAAGCTTTATTTTTTATGATCTTGTTTTGGGAGTCATAGGAGCGAAATGGTAAAAGAATATTCATTTATTTAAGGATCTCAATAATACAAAAATTCTTCAATTATTTTAGATGTATTTCTAGTATAGAAATGATTATTAATTTATTCTTATTTAGTTTTTGGTTTGCATGCCAAATATTTTTATTTGTGGCTGAATCTTATCACTATACAACATGGAATTAAGAAATAGACAAAATGTATAATAAATATGATGGTTAGTTATTCAATACTTTATTTTGTATTCTCACTTTTAACTTTGATACTATTTGTTTTAGGATGTATATTGTTTAAGAAGCATATTAAATCAATCAATACTATTAACTAAAAATATAAAAAATATGTATAATAAATAAAACATAATAAATTTAGCTTCATTACTCAATTGTTTTGCTAATCATGGGACAAGCAATAAGATTGATATTTTTTGGATTAAGAATTTGGTATACTAACTTTTTGATATAGTTTAAATATGGATTCAATAATGAAAATACAAAAGATACTACATTATGGTATTTATTTATTATATAGGACAAGGTCTTTCATATCATTTGGATTATATTTAATAAGTGATTATATACCTACTTCAATACTTATATTAATATTTTATCCAAATAAATAAAGATTAAAATAAAGTTTAATAGTAGAATCTGTTGTGGAAATAGAATGATTGTTGGTATATAACAATTATTTATATTTATTAATATTCATTTAACATATTTTACTTTTGGTTTATTATCTTTTTTCTTTTTATCTTTCTTATCATCTTCAGCATATTAAGGTTTCTATAACCAACCCCAAATAATTAGAGAACCCTTATATAATAATATTAATGGGATTATCCAATAACCATACCAAAAAAAGTCAAATAATGTACTACCAAGCTATTTTAGATATAATATATTACTTAAATGGCTCCATTTAAAGCTAATATATCTAAATAAATGGAATATGAATCTGCATTCAAACCCAAATCTAATGACTTGCTAATCTAATTATAACAAAAGTATTATATTAATGTTATTATTGATATTACTATTCCACCCCATATTGTCAAAGCATAACCATAATATAAATTAGCAAGTAGAAATAATATGCAAATACCTGTTGTTGGATAAAAGTAATATCCTATGACTTTTTATTTAAAATTAGCAATTTTTTTTTCGCTTTAGTTTCCCATTAATAAAATTAATGCATTACGTGTATTTTATTCTTTTAGTTGTTCTAGCTTCTTGCAAAATGACTAACATTACAAATTTAGATAAATGGGTCTAAAAATAAAACTACACATTGATCTTTTTTACACGTGATGATTGTAATCATTGTCAAAGATTGGAAGAAGAATTAGAAAAGGCATCTGAAATGATTAATGTTGGTACTCCTGGAAGTATTGGTATTCCAGTAGCTAAAATTAAAAATTATGAACTTAATAGATATCCTGTCTTAAGACTATATGTAAAAGGACTATACACAGAACATTCAGGTGAATGGGAATAGAAAAAATTAGAATCATGGACAGATATAAGAGCATTATCATATATATCAGAATCTGATTCAGAACCAACAATAAGATGGATCCATGAGTCTCATAATATTAGTGTTTTAGTTTTCAATAACTCATTTAAGTAAGAATTGAAATGGCTTAAAACACTTAAACATCATATTCATTTTACTTATACTACCTTACCAAATGCTCGATCAATACTCAATGTTGGAGAAGAAACTACACTTGTAATGTTCACAGAAAAGGGTATTAATAGATATGATTATGATGGTGAAATAACTTATGAAAAAGTCTTTAAATTTGTTGAGGATCATGAAGAAAAATATTATTAAGAATTTACCCAAGATGCTATTGAAACTGCTTTTTATGAACCTAAAAAACCAGTATTATTCATTTTTGATGAAAAAGATTATAGAGATTTAGCTAAAACACATTAAAAGGAGTAATAATAATAATATAAATATTTAGAATTAATACAATATTAGTTAAGTAAGATTAAGTGACAGATAGAATATTGAATTTCTTAGGAATTAAAGGTATTTAACGTCCTTTAGCTGTTATTTATGATTAAAATCATTCTTAAAAGAAATATAGATCATAATTCTCTGAATTAAGTGAAGTTAGAAAATTTGTGAATAATTTTCTTAATAATAAATTAGAACCATATTATAAAAGTTAAACACCAGTTAAAAATGAAAATTGGGAAAAATAAATATTAACAATAGTAGGTGAAGATCTGCCTAAACATGATAATATTTTTATCTATTTTTATTCAAGTTGGTGTAAAGTATGCTAATAATTTACTCCTATTTTTGAATAACTATTTAAAAAATATAGAGGATAAAAAGCTTTTGGTATGTTTGATGCAAGTGAAAATGAAGTAAATTAATAATTTATTATTTTTTAGGTCAAAGATTAATTCATTAAAGAAGTTCCAATGATTAGATGGTACAATTCTTAAACAAGATAAGTTGTTACATTTGATGGACCATTAACATTAGATGCTCTTAGTGAATTTATAGATAAATAAGGAAAAAAATAGGTTTCTGATGATTTATGATGTGTAAAATATCTATTGTATTATAATTGCCCATAATTAATATTAGATTGAAAAAAATCTTTTATCTATTCATATTTTAAATATAATTGTTTCTTAATCATAATTATATAATACATAAAGTCAAAGAAATTTTGTTAATTTTACTTTATAAATATGCATAGATAATATAGATTTATTATTATTCAAATGTTTTATTTAGAATAATTTAAAATAGGAAATAAAAATTTATTATATTTCATATTATTTTTATATACAAATTCAAATCAAGAAATTTAAAGTAATCTAATGGAAATTTTTAAAGAAAATATTTAGGAGTTATTTGATTTGATAAAAAATATATTATTATTACTTATTTAGATATTTTCAAGCATATTGCTAAAGATCAATTATAATAAAATTTAGTTCATTATTCTATATAAAATTTAGCATCACCTAAATATATTAATGATGAAAATTAATTTTTGTAAAAGGATAGTCTTAAAAATTTTCTTTTAAAAAATTTAATTCAATTTCCATTTTAAGTTATATTATTAGATTGATCAAGGCATTTACTAATGTGATATTTACAGAAATCCTTTCTGAAAGTAAAAGAACATGAATAAAACAATTTATAATTAATCATACTTTTTTCTTTTATTACAGGAATCTAAATACAGAAAAACCTAGATTTTCGCTTTGACTGCGTATTCTGACATTCTATAATTATATAAATATTATACATGTTCAATTAGGGCTTTTTAACATGGTACTTTTGGAATTTAATTTGATCGTTGCTTTTCATCTGTTTCAGATTCCTCTAATATGACCTCATCAGGTGTATAAATAGCTAGTTTTTGTTGTTGAATTTTAGGTCCTTTAGGAGGTTCAAGGATTAATGGTTCAACTATTTGTGGAGATTATTTAGCCCTAATCAATATAAAAATTTTACTTTAATGCAGGAGTTGGAGGTGGTTAATCATGAGTGTCTAAATATTCTTAATATGTCATTGAGGAATTATATCTCTGTCTGATTACTGTTTAATAAAGATCATCCATAACAATTTTATTTTAATAATTGATTAGTGAAGTAATTATGTATTCTACAATAAAATTATATAAAGTAAGAGGGATTTCTAAATATAATCTTTGAAACCAATACTTTATTGTTAAATAATATAGGTGAGAATTCAATAAAAAAATAATGTTAAATTTGTTAGTGATAGAATTTTGATTAATACGAGGTTATTCAGTAGGGATTTGAAATAGTAGTTAAAATTCGATTTAGTTTAGAATTTAGTAATGAAGTTTACAATAAATAAGTTAATACTAAAAATAACAATTAAATTGTTTATACTAAAAAAAATAAATTTAATTCTAAATGAACTGAGATTTAATAAAAAATGACATGGAGTTAAGTCTTTAGTTCTGTTTTTAATCAATTAAAGAAAAGTTATTTATATTAGTAATAAAAGAATCAAGAAAAAAAATCAGTAAAAAGGTATTTTTGATAATGAATCTAAAGAATTTGAATAATGATACTATTTTTTTAAAGGTTTTCAGTATCATATATATAAAATTTTGATTATCATTAAATGTAACTATTGTAATTAGATTAATCCATTATGATAATTTAGTCTAGAAATTCAGAGAATAAAAATGAATAAAAAGATTCTTAAAACTATTTTATGTTATATTTGTTCATTAAACAAGATCTCTTTAAAATAATGTAATCATGATTAACATATAAATAATATCAAGCTACTTTATTTACAGAATACACTTCAGTGCTTTGGCTATGATTTTTCTAAGATTTCATTTCTTCAACTTTGGATTATCCTTTTAATTCATTTTTTTATCTATTCAGATACAATTCTATCTTATTTAATGATGATAATAATGGAAATTCTGTGATATATGATTGGATTAGATATTTTTTCAATTATGGTGATTATGTCACATTCTAAGAAGAGCTAGATAAAAGACTTACAAAAATATTATTTTTCTAGTTTTCCTCATCCAAATTAGCTTGAAGGAATTATATTCCTAAAGGCTTCTTACTTTCATGAGGAATTTCAAATTTTTATGGAAGCATCTATTTTTTAAAATCAAGGTAAGCAGATTTATTAATTCTTGTGTCAAGACGATAACCTTTCATTTTATGAGTGTTTTTCATTGTTTAATTATAAGTATTAAATATTAAGGCTAACTTATTAATATTGATCGATATATATACTAAAGCATTCAAGCAATTATTATAAATAATGATAGATTAAGAAAGCTATATTTGTTTTAGAAATAAATTGAAATAATTGAGATGTAATACTTTATAAATTGATATATCAAATATGTGTTTAAACATTTACATTTTATATTTTGTTTGGATATTATAAAATATTTGAAATAAATTTATATTTATTTTAAATTATTTAATCAAAATTGCAAACAAGGTTTGCTAAAAATCAATACTAAAATGAATAGTAAATATTCCAGTATTTATTATTGTAATAGTAAATGAGAGTAAAAATAATGATAGAACTTCTTTCTAATTTTATAAATAAATGTAAAATATTTATAAATTAAAACCAATTCATATATATATATATATAAGTTTAAATTTGAATTTAAGGATGTTGTAAGTTTGCATTAGAGTTCGTCCTCTTTTAAAACATGAAAAAAATGCATAATGGTTCGTCAATAAGAATAATATAAACTCTTCAAATAAATCTTTTACATTTGACTAAGTAGAATGTGAAACAAGGACTTAAACTCTTTATAATAAAATTGCCAAATAGAATGTCAAAAAGGCACTTAATGGCTATCATACAACAATAATGTGTTATGGATAAACTACATCAGGAAAAACATTCACAACCTTAGGTACTCATGATAATCCAGGAATATTACCTTGTGCCTTGAGAGATGTTTTTTTAGATGATAATGTTAAATGTTCAATCTAATATGTTCAAATATATAATGAAGTTATTGATGATCTTTTGGATCCAAAATGCACATCTTTGTAAATAATTAATGATTAAAAATGGGGTACATCATTACAATTGAAATAAACCCCAGTAAAAAGCTTTGATTAAGCTATACAATTATTAAACGAAGGAGAAGAAAGAAGAATATACAGAGAGACTTAAATTCATGATAAAAGTTCAAGATCACATACAATATTTAGGATTTTTATTGAAAATGGATCTAGATATTCATGCTTAAATATAGTTGATTTAGCTGGTAGTGAGAGAGTTTCATCAGAAAATGATATAAATCATGAGACAGGTTATATCAATAAGAGTTTGTTAGCATTAACTAATGTAATTAATTAATTAACGGAATAAAAATAATAGCATATTTCATATAGAGATTCAAAATTAACAAGACTACTTTAGAATTCATTAGGAGGTAATTCTATTACAGTTCTAATATGTTGTATATCTCCAGGAAACAATACATAAACCTTGTCAACATTGCAATTTGCACAAAGAGCAAAGATAGTTAAAAACACTCCTATTATTAATGGAGAGAAACAGACTTAAGAATTGTAAGATTAACAATTTTAAAGTTCTTCTTATTCAAATTTCAACATTTTTACATATGCTTAATGTTAAAAATAATCAAACAAGAATTCATTTTAAGCTTTTATCAAATTAGAACAAAAGTATTAAAAAAAATATTGTGAACTTCTTTAATAATATTATAAGGAATTAAATAAATTATAAATAAATGAATAAGATTTATAAGATGTTATATCAATTTTGGAAAGAAATATTTTAACACAACTAGAAGAGATGAAATAAAGTATATCCGATACAAATAATGAAGAATAATAATATAAACTTTTAATTTGGGGATCTGGACAAGATGGAAGATTAGGATTTGGTGATGAAAAAACTTGTAAAATTCCAACAGAAATTAGCAATTATAAATTTTCATAGGTTAGTTGTGGATTCCACCATACTTTAGCTATATGTAATGGTTGCATTTATGCTTGGGGAAGAGGTCAAAAAGGATAGTTAGGATTAGGAAATTTTGAAACTATTCTTAGTCCTACAAAAATAGATAACTTAAAAAATGCTACTTAAATTGCTTGTGGATGGTAACATAGTTTGGCTATTTGTGATGGTAATTTATATTCTTGGGGTTGTGGAGATGATGGATAATTAGGAAATGGAGATTGTCAATCAATAAATTAACCTATTGCTATTTAAGAAGATGTTGAATATATTTATGCTGGTCATTCATAAAGTGGATTTATGAAAGAAGGAATGTTATATACTTTTGGAAATAATTAGGATGGAAGATGTATGATTGATTCTTTAGGAATTCTTACAGAACCAGAATAAGTACCTTTGAATGATATTAAATCAGTAAGTCTAGGTGTTTCTCATATGGGAGTTGTTACTAATGATGGATGTGTTTATATGGCTGGAACTTCTATTGATGGTTAATTAGGAACTTTTAGTATAGATGACGAAGTGGCCACTTGGTTTACTTAATTAGATAAATTTAATAGTTCAAATAGAGCTTAATAAATTTAATGTGGAGATTCATTTACTTTAGTTTTAAATACAAAAGGAATTATCTATGCTTTTGGAAAGGGCTCATTTAAACGATTAGGATTATCAACTACAGACAATATTTATGAACCTACTCCTTTGCCTATCTAAGGTGATATGATATATGCTGGATGCAGACATGCTTGTTCAATAACAAAGAATGGATAAGCATATATGTGGGGATTTAATTTTCATAATCAACTTGGTCTTGGATAAGATGATTTAGATTAGGAACCAATTTTATTAAAAATTACTAATATCAAATAAATGTCACTTGGTTATTTTCACTCTGCTGCTTTAGTTTCAAATTGATTATATTTAAAATTAGATATTAAATTAATTATTTTATATATCTAATTTATTTTACTATTTTATTAATCATATTGTTGATTTATTTTATGAGTTAACTTTCATTCTTTTTTTTAGATAAAATATTCAAATTAGATTTTTACTTTAAATTTTTTTTAAATAAAAACAATTAAATTTTATAATCTGCTTTTAAATAATATTCAATCGATTTTCACCATGCTGCTATTCAAACATTAGGGACAATAATAATTTTAAGATTTTTTATACTTCTCATCAAAAATGCAATAAAAGTAACAGAAATTTGATGAACATTATTTAATAAGATATTTATTTTATGATTTAAGATTTATCATTAATTGATTGATCTCTTAATTAAACTAAAACTCTTTATAAGCTTTACCTATAGAGTCTATCTAATTCAAAATACTATGTGATAATTTTGATCCGCATTAATCACATTTAGCTATATTTTTACTTACCAAAGCTTCTTTTATTATATCATAAACTCTTTATTCATCTAAATAATGTCCACATTAATTTTTCAATTTTCTTTAATTGTTGTCAATAGTTTAGGTTTATTAAATTTAATTTTATGAAGGTTCTTAAAAATTTGATTATTTTGATATATCAATTTACGTATTCATATTAACATTTTCATATATTGTAATAGATGATTTTTACTAAATTTCCTTATTTTTATCATTAGAATCAGATTATAAAATTTGTGATTTGAATTAATTATTTTATTATTACATTCTATCATGTTGTAATTATAATTAATATTTTTTGTCCTACATTTCTTAATATTATTTTAAATAATTATTATCTTATTATAATCTTTCATAATCTTATTTTAATTAGATATAATCTTATTTAATTTTATCATAATCTACTTATGTTTTTTAATATTTGCATATAGCTTATTTCAATAAATAGTTTAGAATTTAATTTTACTCTTATATCAAATTATCTCGTTAAAATAATTTTGAATTCTCTATAGGCTTTTCAACTTCTGCATTGTTTTAACTCTTATATATTATCTAAGAAGTATATTTTTGTTCATTATTACTATTATTCTTCTAAGGGGTTTTGATTTATTAGTTTTTTTCAGATGTAGGATGAATTGTTGATTGATTTTATATATTTTTTTGATTTTATACTGTTTGAGATTGAGATGATTGATTATTACTTTGATATTATTTTTTGTCATTTTATACTACTTATATGTTTTATTTAGGAAACTATTATGTGTTTTATTAAGGAATTTATTATGTGTTTTATTAAGAAATTTATTATGTGTTTTATTAAGGAATTTATTATGTGTTTTATTAAGGAATTTATTATGTGTTTTATTAAGGAATTTATTATGTGTTTTATTAAGAAATTTATTATGTTTTTTATTAAGAAATTTATTATGTTTTTTATTAAGAAATTTATTCTTACTAATTAATTCTATAACCAAAAACTCTGGTTGGCAATATATCAAGGCATTCATATAGGAAAAATGAGTTGTCATCTATTCGGAATTATTCATAATACAAAGTTAAATTTTAAACTCCTTGTTTTTCTTTAATGTATGTAATAATATTATTAATAGTGGTCTATTCAGTAATTCGCATACTTTATTATGATTAAGATGAAGGTAAATCCATGTTGTAGAAGGTAATTAATTTTGATTGTTTATTATTATCTTTAATAGATATTGATGATGCTCCTCCCATAAATTTTATAATATAATATAATAAATTTTAATATAAATAATAGAATAACAATTAAGATTTAATTAAATAATTTTTAATACAAATGGAAAATCATTAATTTTTTTTGTAAATGATTATATCTTAGAAGCAATTTGGACAAAACCCTCTATTAATTATTTTATATTTATTCCAAATACAAAAAAAATTGCAATATTAGCATTTCTAAATATCATAATTGTGAATTAATGAATTTTTTAGAATTTTAAGCTCTAATAATAATAAATTAGTATGATATTATTTTTCCAGTGTTTTTATCTATGAGTACATAGATCTAGGTATTTTTTAATTACATTCCTGACAAGTAGCTATTTAATTTTAAAATATGGCATTTTAAAGAATAATTTTCAGCTCTTAACTATTGTAACTATGCTAACATTTACATAGAATTGATTTTATTGTTAATTCAGATTAATTTAAACTAGGGTTA